AAAAAATAAAATATATTTTAAAAAATTAGTTTGAACCATTGAATTGCCCTGTGATGAATTATCCTGTGGTAACAGTGAGTTGGCCGCAGCCAGTTGTCCCATTCCGGTTTGGCATTGCTTGTTTCCTAGGGTTGAAAGAGTGTGGCTGGCCCAAGGTTCCCCCAGCTGGCCTTGTGCAGCCAGTTGGGCAGGACTAGAACTCCCAGCCTCCTAGTTTCTAGCCTGGTGCTTTCATCACTAGACCAAGCAGGTTCTATTTGTCTAACAACTCATTCCCACTCAACGTTTGTGTCCTTAAAACCCGCTTCATTCGTCTTCTAGGTGGTTCTGTGTGGCGGATCAGCCCGTATTCCAAAACTGCAGCAAATGATCAGAGAACTTTTTCCTAATGTTGACTTGCTAAACTCCATCCCTCCCGATGAGGTCATCCCCATCGGAGCAGCCATAGAAGCGGGAATCTTGCTTGGAAGAGAGATTTTTTCGGAGGACGACATGCTGTCCGTTGAATGTTCTGCCAAGGACATATTAGTCAAGGTAAGATGGTTACAGAGATGCCTGTGAATGTGACATCCCTAACTTGCTGACCAAAATTATTATTTTTCTTTTAATGACACTGTGAATCCCTTAACTCGGAGCAGAGTCGGAGCGACTGGATGGAGCTGAGCGTTTACTGGCCAGATGCCCTTCCTGATGCCTACGCGGAGTACACAGCAAATATTTTCCCTTTGCGCCCAGAGAGAGAAATATCTGCCGCTACCTAGGATCGAACTCACAACCTCCCGATTGTGAGGCGAGGGTTTTTACCTCTAGGCCACCACGCTGCTCACTAACCAAAATTAAATAACTGTTCGAAAACCGTTAGGATGAAAAGATAGGCACCATCATAGCACAAAATATTCTGAACAGGAAATCAGAAAAACTAAGCAACGTTGCAATAAAGGACAGTGGGATTAACGTGCATTCATTCAGCTGCTTGCACGGTGGTCATCTCTGAAGCGACTGCTGGGAAGCAGAGAACCAGACTGGCATCTGCTTTGTTGGGACAGGTGGAGAAAGGAGGTGTCATTCACTTTTCGTGCCAATTTGAATAAGAGGGAAAAACTAAGGTGGGAGGTGTTAATTGATTCAGTTTCCTCCAAGGAACGGGGGCAGAATCTCAAATTATTGCGTCACAAATCAGCATATATATATGTATGTATGTAAATAGATAGATAGATAGATAGATGATAGATAGATAGATAGATAGATAGATAGATAGATAGATAGATAGATATAGATATATGCAAAAAATTAAAATCTCGGGTGTTTTCCCGCGTCATTGTAAATAAGTTGGTTAAAATGTTTAAAATCCTGGTTAAAATCCCAGCTTAAAATCTTCTAAAAATCCTTACAGAGCACTCTGCAAGGTCCTTTAAAACCTCAGCTAAAATCCTACCAGTGACTTTAAAAGTTTTTCTTAAAGCAATGTTTCGACAGGCTTACAACCCTGTCATCTCAGGCTCTGTTTCATGTAGAAGTTATGGGTTCTAGTGTATATATATACACTATTTTACCTCCTTTTTAATAATTAAATAAAATTTAGTAAACTCATGTTGTTCAGTTCTTGACAACCTCATAGATCAGGGGTTCCCAAACTTGGCAGCTTTAAGACTTGTGGACTTCAACTCCCAGAATTCTCCAGCCAGCTGTTCTGGGAATTCTGGGAGTTGAAGTCCACAAGTCTTAAAGCTGCCAAGTTTGAAGGCCTCTGTCATAGATGCTGAAGTTGGCAGAAATACAGAATTTGGCCACTGTCGCCTTCTAGAATTTTTTTTTTTTTACTGTTCAATGATTTCTCCCGCGAGAAAGATTTGGCCAAGGTTAGCTGGGTTGCTACTCCTGCTGCGTCTGTTGGGAGACAGTTCACTCGAAATGAGTAAAACTTCTGCAAGACTTTTATTTTATTTTATTTTATTTATTTCCAGGCATTGGACCAGTCGGGGACTGACAAATTCCTGGTGGTGTTACCGTCCGGAACTCCTTTGCCAGCTCGAAGGCAACACACACTGGAGGCCCCGGGAGAAATTTCCTCCGTCTGCCTGGAATTGTATGAGTCTCTGGAAAAAGGCCCCGTAAAAGAAGATGACAGATTTGCACAGGTAGAGAAAGAAAAGCGTGTTAATTTTTACAGCGCAATTTTATATCTGCTCAGAAGGAAATGTTTGTTTTCGGTGAAGCTCCCTTCAACATTACAGGCTATGAATATTTTTTTTGATCGAATCTGTCAGAAACGGGCAAGCTTCATGTTTGGATATTTATTTATTTTTTTTCCTAGAAACCTGAGATCCATGGAGCAGAATCCGGCATAAAAGGCACAATTTAGGATAACCAAAAAAATTTACTCAGGAAATAGGCACTTTTCAAAACTATTCTATAAAAAAAAAAAAAAAAATCATGCTTGGTTCCTTCAAATTAATTTACATTTCAGCATTACTGATTAGGGTTTAGTTGCAGAGGTTTCCTTTTAAAGGATTGCAATCTTGTAATATCACAGGGAGAAGGCAGGAGTTAAAATGAAGGCTGTTTTTCTACTTTAGGGAAAAGGGATTTCCACTGAAATACATTTTTTGGGAGAAAAAATAGCCTGATTTGGGTTTTTTTTTTTTAGGAATTTAGAGGATTTTTTTAACAGTTTGCTATGCATCCCATACTTTCCTGATAAGATTTGACTCTTTAATTTCTCAAATCTCCCACGTTAAAAAAAGAAAGTGGAATTTTCCAGCATGAAGTGCTGAAGTTCCATTACTGTTGATCTTAAAATCTCTGTGAAAAGAATTGATGTTCTTTATCGTTTAGTCCAAGTAGAGAATTAAAGCAAACCTCATCCTTCGAATATTTCCCTAACAGTGATTTCAAAACTTTGTTGCAGCTGAATGATATATTTCTGGTTGCTTTTTTTTTTTTTTTTTAACAGATCGTACTCCAGGATTTAGACGTCAAAGAAGGTCTGCATCATATATCAACTATCCTTACAATGAAGAGGTACTGGAAACGAAAATCTTAATTCTTTGGGTCAGAACCACGAGTACTTACGGGATTTACCATATGATAATTTTCATGTTGACATATTTTGTGGGGGAAGATAACCAGATTCTAAATATATATTATAGACACTGGAAAGGACATTTGTGGGGCAGTTCTAATTTTCCTGTTCAAATTTCACTTCCCCTCCCGTTCTGAACGGCTGTTCTCCTCCCCTGTGGAGAGGCAAGAGGGATACCCAGACTGGAACCTGATCACAGGGGCACATGGCAACAACCAGTTGTAAATGCTAACAGGTTGGCCGGCATCTGAAATGGGGCTGTGAGACTGGGGGAGGGGAGGAGAACAGTGCCATATTGTACAACAGCCCAGAAGTGTTTCAGGGGCCATAAAGCTTTTATTTTATGGCTGTTTTGACTGGGAACCGTCATTAAATGGCTTGTTGTAACTGGAGAACTATCTCTGGTGGGCCTACTTTCAGTGGCAGCATCCTTGCATGGAAGAACAGTTGCTAGGAGACTGTTGCTTGTAAGCTACAAGCCAAGAAAATGAGTAAGAACAAAGCCCTTCCTGAATTAACATATACGTACGTACGTACGTACGTACGTGTGTGTGTGTGATATAGAACATAAATGTCCTTCTTTAATCCCTCTTACACCAATTTCTGGGACCTCTGAGTTCAACAAGTCTTCTGAATAGTTTTTATCCCAGAGCTATAATTGCACTCAGCCATGAACTAAAGGGCCACCATCTATGAGCTGTTGGACAGCATTACTTGGTCTGCTGTGTGGATGTTTGGGTGGTTGAGGGATGGGGAATTTTTGGTGGGTGGAAGTGTGTTTGGGAATTGTCATGTGTGTTGGGCTTGGTCTCTGGGTGTTAAGTGAATTTCGTTGTATGGGTATGCCATGTATACACGTACAATGACAATAAAGTTATTATTAAACATTTTATGCTGATCCACATACCATTTTTGTCGCTAACCCCTATATCAGGGGTGTCCAACCTTCGCCACTTTTAAGACATGTGGACTTCAACTCCCAGAATTCCCCAGCCAACGGTGCATTGCTGGGGAATTCTGGGAGTCGACATCCAAAGTGCCAAGAATTGGACACCCGATTTAGATCTAGGCGACAGAAATTGTGTGCGGATCAACATAAAACGTTCCATTCATGCATTGCTGGCTAGGGAATTCTGGGACAGGCCTTGAAGTGGCCAAAGTTGGGACACCCCCCCCCCCCCGATCTAAATGTTTAGGAATAGAGGATAAAAATGTATTTTTCTTTTCTCAGGGACGGATCATTACATGTAACCTGCACAGACGAAGACACTGGAAAATCCGAAGCCGTCACCGTGGAAGTGGCCTCATAGGCCCATTTTCTCAGCTACAGGAAATCTTCCCATAGGCGGCTTTGAAGACGAGCGAAAGGTTTCCTCCTTCAGAGGCCACCGGTCACAGCTGGGCGTCTCCACCATGAACTGTCAAACGTTGAAGGGAGAAGGAGGAGCCCTGCCTACAAAACCCTTAAAAGGCCAATTGGCTTCATTTAGGTTTGTGAACCGTGTACATTGGAGAATCTATTCTGTTACTTGTGAATAATAAACCCTATGTTTTTATAGACATCATAAAACCGTTAAAAGCTTTTTTAGCAGATGGGCCTCCGTTGGCACCTGAAAACGGCTAATGAGAAATTCTGAGTGACCTGGAGTCACGAGGATGGGCTGAATAGATAACACACATCCCTTGTTAATGATGTGTGCGTGTGTTGGTTTTGGCACGATTAAGCCCTTGGTTAAAAGGTTATGCATAAGCATAATAATCCCTTTCATCATAAGATTAACAATCCATCCCTTTTATATAGGTATAATTTTGGGAGCTTGTTCAGTCTGACTTTAATATAACAATAGGACATGAGCCTTCCTTAGGAAAGATACGGAAACAAAAAAACAACTGTAAATAGACAACAAAACACAGAAGGTATATTAACAAATGACCTCTTTTATGAACATTATTAGAATGTTGTAGAAAAGAATTTGGCAGCCGTCAGTCACGCCTCCATTAACATTGGCTGACAGAGAAGTTCGACGCCAAGTCCAGTGTGGCGATTTAAAGCCAGGAGAAACAAAACTTGGGAGCGTGTGCTAGAAGCCACAGAAGAAAAACACAAAAGAGGTTCCACCTATCGCAGGTGGAATGATCACCTGGTCCGTTAGTAAAGCAGAGGGAAAACTTGAAAAACCAGAGTGACATTCTTCAAGCACTTCCTCTTCTCAGGGAAGGGAGCCAGAGCTGTTCTTATGAGCTAAGAATACTGGAAAACGGCACCCATTATGTGCCAAGAGCAGTTCCTTGACCTGCTGCTTGCAGGTCAAGGAACTCCGGTCAAAGGCCTTGAGCGTGGCGATTTTGGGGTGAAGGCAATAGGCCAGGGGTTACTTATGAAGAGGAACCTTCATGATTCATCCTGAAGTCAGGATCCGAAAGCTACAGGCCAACAGCTGTGGATGATTTAAATATGTTAAAACCAATCTAATAAGACCCGGTAGAACTAAACTTCCAGATCCATAGTGGGCTATTGAATAACAATAATAACTTTGATAAAATATTGACTTTTGCCAACTTCACACTGCTAAAAGAATAAGTTTGAGGCTAGTAACATTGGTTGGTCTCGAGCCACAGGCTGGTGGGCTCCAAACTCTGCAGGAAAGGTATGAAAAACCTCTGAAATGATGCTTATTCTATCACAACGGAAGGATGGAGTGACATAAATGTCCCCTGGGCTTCCATGTCTTTACTTGGAACGAATGCCCCAGTGCTTCACATCAACTCCCGGTGGGTCTGTCTGAAGAACGAGACCATCATAAGAACTTAATTTGGAACCCCAGAGGATGCCCGTTTCATCGTTGGATGGATACACTTGGCTTTCAGAATCCCTAAGCGGGCAGACCCTGTAACTGAATGATTGCCCAGGCACTTTCCCCCCCTTTTCAATGCTAACTGTAAACAATATGAAAAAGGTGACATTTTATGCACCTGCGGCCAGTTTTTCCAAAAGCTAGGACCTAAATATTGGGCACAAATCAATATTTAGGGAGGCAGGTTTTAATCACACAGCGTTAGAGGTAGTTCATCATGAATAATGTGAAAAGCCAACATTTCTGTGTGGGAATACGGACATCAGGTTTTTTTTTAATGGAAAAGGAAGGTGTGCTCCAGTATTTATGGCCGGGCAACGCTTCATTACTATGGCAAAACACCGGTGGGACTACCATCGTTCATGCATTCCAGAATTTGTTGATTTGTTCATCAAAAATGGCAGTTGGCTGAGAAAAAAAACCTTCCATGAAAACGGAGTCCTTGTGCAAACTGTGTGATTAGAAACTATAACTTGTCTCCTGGAATCAACCTGAAGATTCATCATCATCTGCTTAAAAATGGGAAAAAATGCTTGAAATCCCTTTTTAAATAAATAAATAATTTATTGTCAGTTATTTATTTAAAAAGGGATTTTTCCCACTCCCAGATGCTCTCTAGTCCTACTGTTTGCAGTTAGAGCATAAATGTTTGTATTTTGTACATATAAACGTGTGTATGTGTGTATATATGTCTATATACCGTATTTTTTGGAGTATAAGACGCACCTACCTTTTTTGGAGAGAAAAACAAGAAGAAAAAAATCTGCCGCTGCCTCCCAGCAATTTGCCTCCTTGCAGCAAGCAGCCAAGGCTGAAAATGGGGACCACGGAGGCGGCAATAGCAATCCCTGCAGCCTGAAACAGCTGATGGTCTGCCAATCCAACCGACAATCAGCTGCTTGTGCTAATCAGGCTGTGCTGAAGCTGAAATGGGCTGTTTGCTGTTAGGAGGTAAAATTGCTAGGAAGCAAAGGGCAAAGCGGGGGGGGGGCGACATTCGGTGTATAAAACGCACCCAAATTTTCACCCTCTTAAGGGGGAAAAATGCATCATACTCCGAAAAATACGGTATGTATATACATGTACACACACACACGTACACACACACACATATATATAAGGATACACATGAATCTACACACACACACACACACACAAAGTTTATATGTACAAAATACAAAAACATTTTGTATTACATTTTTTACAAAATACAAAAACATATATATATATATATATAAAACATTTAAAACATCATTGTAAAGCTATTTAGGGAGGCAGAAGCTTCTGGATCTGGCTGCTCCCTCCCGGTCAGTGGAGATTTTCTCCAGCTGCCAGCTTTTGGTAGAGACTGCAGAGTTGCTGAGGTTTGGGAATCTCGGCCCCGGGAGTAGGCGGCACTTCAAAATCCGAAGAGCTCTGAGAGTCAACCGTTTGGACCTCTGGGCTGAGTGGCCTGACCTCTGGCCTCCCTTCTGGCTCGGTCCTCTCCTCTATTGGTTCGCTTTGATTGGGAGCTGCCCCTGCGCCCCAACCTCTGCCTCTGCCTTCCAAGGGAACGTGCTCTGCGGAAGAGGCACCCCGATCTAAAGCTTGCCAGCTGTTTGGCAAGTCCGTTTTTTTCTCTCCTGCAGGGAGATGAGGTAGGCAGGCGGCCATCCTTTCAGTCCTTCCCTTGGAAGGGCTGAACTCCATGAAATTCCTTCGCTCCTGGGAGGAAACGAGGACGGTGTCGGCTTGGCTGTCCCACCCTTGGCTGCCCTGCTCAGAGATGTGGGTGGACTGAGAGGAATCCTGAGAAGAGATGTGAGTCGAGTCGCTCAGATCCTCATCGTTGAAGGGGCCACCGGGAGAAGGCGTCTCGGTTGAGCCTGTGCAAGGCAGGTGGCCCTCGTGGTCAGACGTCTCGGGGTCTTCTGAAGGACGTCTAAAGAAACTTTCCCACTTTGGCACTTCCGAGTTAGCTTGCGGTTGGTCTTCATTGGGCTTCCCGAGACTTGTTGAACCCACAAGATTGTTGTGGGGCTGCAAATCTTCAACCAAGTCTGTCCCCGGTGATGGAGTTCCAGGAAGAGCCGTCTCCTTCTCAGCTTGTTCTTCCTCCTCCTCCTCTTCCTCCTCCTCCTCACCATTCGATTCTTCGCACTCCACAAAATTAACCTGCAAAGAGGTAGGCACCGGAGAGGCCTTACAACCGGGGTCTTCTTCGCGATTTGGGGAAAGAGGCTTGCTCTCCCCGGGGCTGATCTCTGGCAGTTGTTTTGGAACCTTGCAATTTGTGGGAATCAGTCCAGAGTCAAAGAGATCGTCGTCATCATCACTACCACCATCTGTCCAAAAAACCCCAAAATATTTAGAGATTAACAGTCGGAAGGGACCTTGGAGGTCATCTACTCCAACCCCCCACCCAAGCAGGAGACTCTACACCATTTCTGACAAATAAATGGCAGTCCAATCTTTTCTTGAAAGCTTCCAGGGATGAAGCTTCTACAACTTCTGGTGGCAAGCTGTTCCGTGGATTAATGGTTCTCACTGCCAGAAAATTTCTCATTTATAGGTTGAATCTCTCCTTGTTCAGTTTCCGTCCATTGTTCATTGTCGGGACTTCAGGTGCCTTGGAAAATAGCTTGACCCCCTTCTCCTCTCTGTGGCAGCCCCTCAAATATTAGAAGATGCTCTCCTGTCTCCCCTGGTCCTTCTCTTCACTAGACCAGCCATGCCCAGTTCCTGCAACCATTCATCGTATGTTTTAGTCTCCAGTCCCCTCATCATCCTGGTTCCAACCCCCACCCAACCCCCACTCTGCATTCTTTCTGGAGTCTCAACAGCATATATATATATTCAGTGATTTTGGGCCAGTTGTTATCTCAGCTTAAACCCAGCACACAGGGAAAAAAAACCCTGGAAGATGAAGGACCAGGTGGGCGCTTTGAAGGTGAGGCCAAAAATCAAATTAACAAAATGTCTATGGAGATTTTCCGTCCTCCAGGTCACAGTTGTCCCAAAGGTGCCTTTTTTTCAAGAGGCAACTGGACTTTCTGCTTTTTCTTTGAAGACTTTTCACTTCTCATCTAAGGAGCTTCTTGGATGAGAAGCGAAACATCTTCAAAGAAAAAGCAGGAAGTCCAGTTGAAAAAGCACCTTTGGGACAAATTAACCAAAGATTACATCAAGACCAGTGTTTTAAAGATGTGTGGACATCAGTTCCCAGAATTCCTTCGGGAGTTGGGCAGCACAGAAATGCGATAAATTAAATTAAATTATTAAATTAAATTAAATTAAATTAAATTCCGTAGCCAACATATCTTTGGCTGGGGAATTCTGGGGTCTTGCAGACCACACACGTCTTAAAATAGCCAAGGATGAAAGACCACATCAAACCGCAAGGGGAAACATCGGGCACATATTATCACATGTGTTGGATGTGTGCAAAGGCAAAAAACTACTGGATGAAAATACATACAAGGTTAGAAAAAATGTTAAAGCAACACACAGATTATAAACCAGAAATATTTCTGTTAGGCATAATACCGGAAACATATGATATAGGGAATATATACTTAATATTGCATGTCTTAACAGCAGCAAGAACTGTATATGCATGGCACTGGAAAAACAAGGAACCACCCATGGAAGAAGATTTAATTTTAAAAAATACTAGATTGTGCAGAAATGGATAGGCTGACATTAAAGATAAAAGATAAAGAATACTTTCAAATGTGGAACTTATTTTATCAATGGTTGATCAACAGAAGTAGAAATTAGAAAAATACTATTATGTATGTCTTATGTTTAATATATTATTATATTGTATACAATTAGATAAATTGACCCAGACAATACGCTGTTCGTAAAGCACTTATGTATGTTAAGGAAAAATATATAACTGTTAAAAAAAAATGGCAAGGGGAAAGAAGGTTGATCTTTTCAACTTACTGGTGTCCAGAAGCTCCAAGGCTCTCGGTCTCTTCAGCAGGCCGAGAGGTTTATAAGTTGGCCGGTTATTTGGCCTGTACTTCCTGCAGAATGGCTTCAGGCTGAGGAGGGGAAAGAACGGCTCAACTTTACAAAGTGATTATTAAAATCTTACAAGGGGAGAAAAACACCAAATACTGAACCGGAAACGAATCATGTCGTCTTTACTTAATTTTAGAGAAATTTAAAAGTGAACAGAATCAAATTTAGACTGTCATCCGGATGCTCCAATTTTGGAATCCAGCATTTGGTTAGGAAACCGCTACCCTTACATTAAAAGATGGCAAGCCCTTATAGAAATAGTTTTTGATAAAAGTAACCAATGGATGGGGGACGTGGTGGCTCAGTGGCTAAGACGCTGAGCTTGTTGATCGAAAGGTCGGCAGTTCAGCGGTTTGAATCCCTAGTGCCGCGTAACGGGGGTGAGCTCCTGTGACTTGTCCCAGCTTCTGCCAACCTAGCAGTTCGAAAGCACCTAAAAAATGCAAGTAGAAAAATAGGGACCACCTTTGGTGGGAAGGGAAGAGCGTTCCGTGCGCCTTTGGCATTGAGTCATGCCGGCCACATGACCACGGAGACGTCTTCAGACAGCGCTGGCTCTTCAACTTTGAAACGGAGATGAGCACCGCCCCCTAGAGTCGGGAACGACTAGCACGTATGTGCGAGGGGAAACTTTACCTTTACCTGATGGAAAAGTTTAATAAAGGACGGCTTGATGTGGATTCCATTACAGATAGCCTTTCACTTAACAGCGGTTACAGAACCTGGTTGTAAGTTGTGATGGCCATAAAACGAATCGGTCACATGACCGACTTGGCATTGTCTTTTTTTTTTTTTGCAGTGGCCGTTAAGCGAACACAGCAGTCGTAAACTGAAACGATGGTTTGCTGTTGGTGCAGTTTGGCGGAAAACAAAGTAAAAACTGGTTTTCAGAAAAACCATCATAAAGTGACCGTCGGACATGGCAAATGGACACAAACGTGGCCCGGTGGCCGAGCCCCCAAAATCTGATCACACAATTATGGGGAGAGGCAGCCATCGCTGGAACTTCAAAATTCAGGTTGTGAGTAGCTTCCCAGGAAATTCGCTGTAATTTTGAACAGTTGCTAGCTGACCAGGTTGCAAACTGAACACTTTATTTGTTTTATGGAGGGGGAAAAAAAAAATTAAAGACAGAACACTCACTTTTCTTCCACTTTGTCCTTGGTTGACCCCATTGGAATCACGTTGGGGTAGACATTCACCGGGCAAATGTAGCTCAAGAAATCTTGGATCTAGAATGGAGGATTGAGGAAAAAAAAGGAGGCATTGATAATATTTAATGTCTCGCCTTAATTTCTTGTACTTATGATTTGCAACGACTTTAAGAAGTACGGAGGGACTTAGAACAGTTTGTTTAGTGACCGTTTCTAAGTTACAATGGCGCTGAAAAATGTGACTATCTTTCACATTTAGGACCTTGGCAGCCTCCCCGTGGTCACGTGATCAAACTTCAGATGCTTGGCAGCTGGTTCATAGTTATGACGGTTGTATCCCAGGGTCACGTGATCCCCTTCTGCGACCTTCTGACAAGCAAAGTCAACCAAGCTATTAACTTAAAAACTGCAGGGATTCGCTGAATAACCGTGGCAAGAAAGGGTCATAAATGGAGCAAAGCTCACTTAACAGATGTCTCACTTAACAACAGAAATGTTGGGCTCAATTGTGGCCGTAAACCGAGGACTACCTGTAATTCATAACATGCACACAATGATTTTTCATAAGGCGAGATGAGTCGCTCGTAAGTCCAACAAATCAATAAAATCTTTGCCAATGGTGACTGTGTTGTACGGGGAACGCAATTTAACAAAAGGGCAACTACGTACCTCGCAATAAGAAGAGTGAAACGAGAAGCAAGCTCTGTAGGAACTCATTCCGGCCCTAAACACAAGGCATAAATTTAAATTCGTTTCCTCTGCTGTTGATCAAAACAAGATTAAAAGCATGCTTTTTTTTTGCAGCCATCTTCCTTAGTCCCGTGTCCTTCCCGGAGGAACGTGGTGTCCTCTTGAGGACCATAATAATTGAACAGACATCTGGAAGACTAGAGATGTTCTTCTAAAGCTTCAATCTTCTAAAGGAATCTTAGTCAATTTGTGACCTTCCGAAGTGAAAGGAATTTGATTCTGGGTGAAAAACAGTCTTCTAAACAAGCTTAATCTTGAATATGATCCGGCACTTTTAACAAGAAGATGCAAGGATGAACCATAAAAAATATCCATCACTTGCCTGTATCTTTTAAACCTTCTATCAAGCAATTTTTTTAGTTCGTTTTCTCTAAAACTCCTAAACGTTAGTGCTCGAATAAGTGCTAATTTACATTCTGTCGTCACCTCAAATAAACCAGGAAAAATCTATGTGTATATTGTAAAGGGCAGGATGAAAGGAGAAACAAAAATACAGAAGACCTTTTTACTTTGAACCAGTTTAAATCACTAGAACCACCTGAACTGCACCTCCAGAGTAGTGAAGGAAACGGCTGGTAATGATATAAATTATATCAGCTAGACCTTACTTAGGTTAACTGATAATAAAAGAAGAGCTAAATCAATTGCTATGAACTTCAAAAGTTGAAAGCTTTTGTTGTCGTTGTACATCATGTATACAATGAAATTGGTTTAGCCTCTACTGCAAGAATACAAGACAACATGAATAATATAAAGAACAATCCTTATACAAGTAGGTAGGGGAAAAAAAACCTAAAAGTATCAATGAGAGATAGGGATAAACTGCTAATTTTGTGGAGTCCCTGGTGCTTTCTGAGCTTGGTGCTTTTCTTCCGGACATCTCATTACCCAAGTAGGGAACATCATCAGTGCTAGAAGGGAGTGGTGTTTGCATCTTCTAGAACTGATGATGTTCCCTAGTTGGGTCACGAAATGTCTTCAAGAAAACCACCAAGCTCAGAGAGCACCAAGGACCCACAGTTCTCCTCCTCCTTTTTCCCTTCCTCCTCCTTCTCCTCCTTCCTTCTAGCACTGATGATGTTACCTAGATGGGTCACGAAATGTCTGCAAGAAAGCCACCAAGCTCAGAGAGCACCAAGGACCTCACAGTTCAACCCCGAGCTGCCAATATTCTCTTCGAATGCTAATTTTGGGAAATTAAAACATACGCTGCCCTCACCTCATGATCACGTTGCTTTTCCGTGTCCTCTCTCCAAACCACATGGTGGATGGCTTGACACTGATAACACGCAACTCATGTCCGTTCTGGGAAGTCATTCCACACGGCAGTCTGTTCCCGCGGTACATTTCGTAATCCTAATGGACAGATAACACCTCGTCAGATCGTGGCTAAAAGTCTACGGAGATTCTCAATCACCTACTCGCACCTACTCGCACCTACTATCTGGAACGAGCTCCCCCCGGAGATATGGAGGATCCCGGATCTGCGTACCTTCCGTCGCGCGCTCAAGACTTTCTTATTTCATCAAGCTGGCCTGACCTAAATTTTTCTCCTTTTTAAATGGAAATTTTAAATTTGGTTTTAAATTATTGGGGTTTTAAATTTGTTCAGCCAAATTATTTAATTCGTTTTATTCTATTTTAAATTTTGTATTTATATGTTTTATTCTATGGCTGTTCACCGCCCTGAGTCCTTCGGGAGTAGGGCGGTATACAAATTCAATAAGTAAGTAAGTAAGTAAGTAAGTAAGTAAGTAAGTAAGTAAGTAAGTAAATAAATAAATAAATTAAAAAAAAAAAATCATCCAGGTCCTGGTTATCCCAAAAGTGGTGTTTTTTTTTTTCCCCAAGAGGCAACTGGACTTTATGGGTTTTTCTTTTTTGAAGACGTTTTGCTTCTCATCCAAGAAGCTTCTTCAGCTCTGACTGGATGGTGAGGAACGGAAGGATTTGTATTCCTTGCAGACCAAGCTGGTCATCTGCATCCTTTGAGAGGGTCATTGAGGCCACTTGGAGGTTTATCTGAGTGGTGCAATTGGATGTGGAGCCTTCTGGGCTGCAGGATGTTTCCAAAAGGCAACTGGACTTGTGTTTTTTCTTTTTCATTTGAAAACATTTCGCTTCTCATCTGAAGAAATTCTGAAGAAGCTCTTTGGATGAGAAGAGAAACGTCTTCAAAGAAAAAAACAAAGTCCAGTCGCCTTTTGACAAAAGCACAATTAGTACAATAGTGGCCTCAGGTCACTGTCAATGATTCTATAAAAGAGCCTTGGTGGCGCAGCAGACTAAAGTGCTGTTAAGTAGCACCAGCTGCCTGCAATTACTGCAAGTTCAAATCTCACCAGGCTCAAGGTTGACTCAGCCTTCCATCCTTTCGAGGTAGGTAAAATGAGGACCCGGATTGTGGGGGCAATAAACTGACTTGGTATAAAAAAAACAGAACACGGGGGGGGGGGGGGCAAAAGCCCTACTAAGCAGGTATATACAAAAGTATGAAGGCTATTGGTTAATGCATTGTAAGCTGCCCTAAGTCTCCGGAGAAGGGCGGCATATAAATCGAACCAATAAATAAATAAATAAATAAATAAATAAATAAATAAATAAGAAAGAGAAGGGCGGCATATAAATCGAACCAATAAATAAATAAATAAATAAGAGAAGGGTGGCATATAAATCGAACATATGTGTATACACACACACACACACACACACACACACACACCGCATGGTTTTCATTTCATCATCTCCACCTTGTCTTCCACCAGAGGGAAGTCTTTAGTCAATTAGCAGGAAGGCAATCCTCATTTTTTTAAAAAAGAGATACATACCCTCGGATGGCGACATGCGTGAATCTGGGTACGCCGATTGGTGGTAACATGGTAGAGAATTTCCGGCATGTTTTTAAACATGTCCAACTTGTTCACATGCACCTAGGACAGGAGAGTCATAAAAAAGGGTATTTTAGGCAACTCGGAAAAGAGACAAGCGAAAACACTAGCAATCATTTTTCAACAAAATATTGGAAGAGAATTTCTTGGCTAATTGGTGGAGAATGTAGAATGTAATGTAGAACGAACTCTAAGGCAGGTTACTAAATCAGCCATAACTTCGTTTTCATCCCGTGAATTAAAAAACAAAACAGAACCACCAAGCATCCTCACTGTGTCTGAAACGCGAGTGAGCCTGATCCAGACCGATCCGTAACCTGCCATCGCAAGGCAAAAGTTTGGCGCTCTCTGAGTTTGGTTGTTTTCTTGCAGATGTTTAATTACCCAGCTAGGGAACGTTGTGGCTGCTAGAGCTCTGGATAATGAAAGGTTTGCAAGAAAACATCCAGCCTCAGAGAGCACCAAAGATCCCAGTTCAAACCTGAGCCACAAATATTATCTCCTGTTGGTAAAATATTGTCAGCTTGAACACTTTGAGAGAAAAAACACCCAGGAAGCAAAACCAATTGCTAAGTAAAAAAATCTTGAAATAGGGCTGCTATGTTCGTATTCAACTTGTGAGTTGCAAGACTGCCTCTGACTGACCACAAGGGACAGAGTTTCCCAACCATGGCAACTTGAAGCCAAGAGCTCAGATGGCGGAGTGGTTAGCATGAAGGATTGCATGCTGACTCTGCCCACTGCCAGCAGTTCGATTCTCACTGGCTCAAGGTTGACTCAACCTTCCATCCTTCCGAGGTGGATAAAATGAGGACCCAGATTGTTGGGAGCAAGAGGCTCACTCTGTAAACTGCTTAGAGAGGGCTGTAAAAGTACTATGAAGCGGTATATAAATCTAAGTGCTATTGCTAATCTGTATTCCCTCCCTCCCTTCCTCTTCTATTCCCTTTCTCATTCTCCTTCCTGGTGGCGCAATGGTCAGAATGCAGCATTGCAGGCTGACTCTGCCAACAGTCAGCAGTGCAATCCTGGCCAGCTCAAGGTTGACTCAGCCTTCCATCCTTCCGAGGTCGGTAAAATGAGGACCCAGATGGTTGGGGGCATTTTGCTGACTCTGTAAAACTGCTCAGAAAGGGCTGTAGAGCAGTATGAAGCGGTATATAAGTCTAAGTAAATAAGTAAATGAAGGAGCCTTGGTGGCGCAGCAGACTAAAGTGCTGTTAAGTAGCACTTAGCTGCCAGCTGCCTGCAATTACTGCAAATTCAAATCTCACCAGGCTCAAGGTTGACTCAGCCTTCCATCCTTTCTAAGGTAGGTAAAATGAGGACCCAGATTGTGGGGGCAATAAGCTGACTTTGTATAAAAAAGAACACCGCTTACGGGGGGCCGAAAGCGCTACTAAGCAGGTATATACAAAAGTATGAAGGCTATTGCTTAACGCATTGTAAGCCGCCCTGAGTCTCCGGAGAAGGGCGGCATATAAATCGAACCAATAAATAAATAAGTGCGATTGCTATTAAGATCTGTGGATTTCCCCCCACAGCTGGTTTGGGAATTCTGGGAGTCGAAGTCTACATGTCTCCTGTTTAGAAAAGACTCAACCTAGAGACGCCGTCTTACCTTGATCCCAAGCTCTTCGCTGAGATTTGTGAATAAATACTCATATCCATAAGCCGCTTTGCAATTCAACCAGACCATGTGATAGGGACTCTGGACCACCCAGCTTCGGACTAATTCCATCAGCCCCTTCATACAGTCTTCCTGATGTGAAAAAGAGTGCATACGATGGTTTTAACTTCAATGCAATGATACCACACACTTGAGTTGAATTCTTTTATCCCCCCCCTTGAATTAATGCAGATAAGCACCATATGCCTGTTTTTCAATATGAAGTCACTTTACTACAAATGTTAAGCAAAATTTCCTCCGAAGTGAGCTTGATGACTAAGTGACGATAAAAACTTTCTTTTAAAGCAGGGAAAAACAATCGGATTATCTATTGGGGCACTCCCAAATAATTAATAAGGAATAAGGAGTGTGGACAAGATGCAAGGATCCATCATCTAGATCGGAGGTCTTCAAACTTGGCAGCTTTAAGACTTGTGGGCTTCAACTCCCAGAATTCTCCAGCCAGCATAGCTGAAGTCCACAAGTCTTAAAGCTGTCAAGTTTGAAGACCTCTGTTCTAGAATAAGGCAAAATTTAGCTCTAATCGTAATTCAGAGGCTTCTTGCTTGCAATATTCGGCAATCTAACACAGGATAAGCCTGAATTAATCATGTTGCATTGGGAAGGTCTAAATTGGCTAGATGGCTGCCCAAATCATTAATTTGTATAGATGGGAACTGAATATTTGAATTGCAAAGAGTTTTAAGTGGAATTATCAAAATCAGCAGCAAGGCAAGCCAAACTGCACCACAAATAGGAAGATAGTTAAAATTTTATTGCTATCCCTGTTGGCTGCAACAAAATGCGTGCATGTAATTTATTTCATAAGGTTCATACCTTTATGCTTCAAGGCACGCTTATTTTTATCTTCATTACTAGGGTGTGAAATGTATTCATTTACATATTATACACCATTAGCATTCAAGAGTGGAATGTTATCTTCTCATCTTACTTACCCGGCTTGGTATTTGATAATATTTGCGATCAAAGAACGTGGTGTCTAAATAGACACTCTGGATGTCCTTCACTCTGAAAAGAGAATGGAAGTATTGGTAGAGTAGTCCTTGACTTATGACCACAGTTGGGGTCCAGAATTTCTGTTGCTAAGCAGGGCAGTTAAGTGAGTTGTGGCAGATCCGATGGGCATTTTTGCCACGGTTGTTAAGCGAATCGCAAATAGTCCTTAAACAGTCCTTCCCCCTATCGCAGTGTTTCTCAACCTTGGAAGCTTGAAGATGGGTGGACTTCAACTCCCAGAATCCCCCAGCCAGCAACGCTGGCTGGGGGAATTCTGGGAGTTGAAGTCCACCCATCTTCAAGCTTCCAAGGTTGAGAAACACTGTCTTATTGGCTTTGCATGTTAGGAAGGTTGCAGATGGTAATCACATGACCCTGGGATCATGCATCTGAATTTTGGTCATGGGACCGTGGGAATGCCCGTTGTAAGTGTGAAGACTAGTCGTAAATCACTTTTTCCTGTTGTAATTCTAAATGGTCGCTAAATGAATTGTTGTAAGACTAGGAGTACCCATCTTGCATCTGACATAATTATGTCAGCTATACGTTAATTCGTAAGGTTTATGTCAGGATCTGGAATAGTGGTGTGGTGGCCTAGAGGTGGAGCTCTCGCCTCACAATCAGGAGGCTGTGGGTTCGATCCTAGGTAGAGGCAGGTATTTCTCTCTCTGGGCACACTGAGAATATGTCTGCTGAACAAAACTCCACATTGGCGACAGGAAGGGCATCCGGCCAGTAAACACTCAGCTCCATTCAGTTTGCCCAGACTCCACCCCAATGGAAGGGATTATGGGGTCTTTAAAAAGAGATGACGATGTCAGGATATGGAATATTATATTTGCTTTTACAAAATGATTTCTTGAGAAGGAAAAGCAGGACATTTATTTTCAAGCTTCTCTTGACTGAGATGAGAATTGGAAGCCACGTGGACTCTGGTTCAAGGACCCGGATCTCTTTTAAGTAATTCTTTTTTTTTTGCAAGAACCAGGAACGCCATCGAGAAAGAATTCTACCATAAAATGCAAGCAAGCCCGGTTGATAGGAAAATCCATGGTCCATTTTCCCACGCCTTTCTCCCACCTGCACGATGCCACAGGTGGCAAACCCCATCGTGCTGGTGGGCGGGAGGGACAGTGGCCACTGATCCCTTGTTATTGGAAGACACCAGGTAAGGTAGATCAATTTTATTGTCACGTTTCGGCGTAAACAATGGCGCACATTAAAATGAAATTCCAATGACTCGGGTCTTTGCTTCTGACCTTGTCAGAACCGACCCTCTCGCTGATTACCGTATTTTTCGGAGTATAAGACACACTTTTTCCCCCTCCTAAAAGAGGCTGAAAATTTGGATGCGTCTTATACTCCGAATGTAGCTCTGCCCTCCCGCTGGCCTCCACGCGTCCTCTTCCTGGCTGCAGAGATTGCCACCAACAATGGCTTGTGTTTTTGGGCTCCGCGCGTCGTGTTTTCAGTCTCCAAACGCCCCCTTTGAGAGCCCTTCAAGGCTGCGGGGATCGCCAAAGCACTTTGTGGATCACCGCCCAAAAATGCGACTAGTTTGGAGGCTGAAAACGCGACGTGTGGTGCCCAAAATGACTACCCGTAACAGCTGCTGCCTTCTCTTACCCCTTTCGCACTTCGCCTGCTTTAGTCACTGGAGCTCCCTCCGACGCGAGTGAAGCGATCTTCTGTGCTTTGCCTGCTTTTCTAATTGCTGTTCCCTCCAACGATCAGCTGTGCTTTAGAAGTTGTTTTTTTAGCCCCAACCAGCCCCAACCTCAAAACCAGCGAGCGAACTAATGTGCTGAAGCTGACCAGGCTAAGGATGCTAGCCAGATGTTTTCCTCCCCAAAAACTAAGCTGCGTCTTATACTCCGAAAAATACGGTATATACTGCGACTGTGTTTGCAGGGAGTGGTAAATTTATTTATTTATTTATTTATTTATTATATTTCTATACCGCCTTTCTCCCGTAGGACTCAAGGCGGTACAGTCAAGAAAAATATAGACACACAAACATCATAAAATTGCTAATTAAAATTGTTACTTAGTTTGGTCAATTAAATAAAACCCAGAATTAGACAACATTTAAAAAATCATTTGCATGTTTGTATGTTTAGCCCAGCCTGTTGGAACATCAGGGTCTTGAGGGCACGGCGGAAAGCACGGAGATCAGGGATATTCCGTATCTCCGGGGGCAGTTCATTCCAAAGGGTTGGAGCCCCCACAGAGAAGGCCCTCCCCCTGGGAGTCGCCAGTCGACATAATTTGACTGACGGTACCCTGAGTAGTCCCTCCCTGTGAGAACGAACTGGACGGTGGGAGGCTATTGGTGGCAAAAGACGGTCTCATAGGTACCCAGGTCCTAAGCCATGGAGCGCTTTAAAGGTGATAACTAACACCTTGAATCATGGATCCCTCAGGTTTGAAAATTCATCTACTCCTCTGCCAATCAATCAATCAATCAATCAATAGCAAGTGCAGAGAAAGCCCAGAGATGGATCACCCAAGTGTGCATAAGAGGCTTTTTGTTCCTCATATTATAGGACAGGAGGGAAGTAGCATCCTCCAAGCATCTTTCGCCAGCTAAGTTCAAGACATTCCAACATGCTAAAGAGTTGAACTCATTCCTCCATATTGACCCCATGCATGTTACCGAGGTCCCAAAGCAGGGACAATACGCACCTTTTTCTTCATAGGCCTACTACGGGTGGTCCAAGAGGAAGAGCCAGGGGCTTGCCTCACCTGCTTCCTGAATGCAGAAGTTCCATTCGGGCCACTTCTCCTCTGGCGAGTCGGAAATCCCCCGTGTACAAGACAGTCCCATTTTCCCCTTGGAAGAGAAACCTGGTTGGAAACAGATTCTTTCATTATTCACATTCACATATGCTGCTAAACAATCCACGTCCTGTTGGGTCGTTGTTTCAGAGATATTTCCTCACCTAAGCGGAGAAACAGAATGACCAAGGATGGGCAAAAAAGCAGTTAGAGCAGGACAACTTTTGACTTCCTGCTGTCTTCCCCATTGCATTTCCTTGTGGGAAGCTGATAGGCAGTTGGAAATCTTTTCCTTCCTTCCTTCCTTCCTTTCCTTTTCCTTCCCATTTTCTTCCCTCCCTTTTTCCTTCCTTCCCATTTCTTCCCTCCCTTTTTCCTTCCTTCCTTTCCTCCTCCTTCCCTTTTCATTCCTTTTCTTCCCTATCTCCCTTTTTCCTTCCTTCCTTCCCCGTTTTCTTCCCTTCCTTCCTTCCCTTTTCCTTCCCATTTTCTTCCCTCCCTTTTTCCTTCCTTCCCATTTTCTTCCCTCCCTTTTTCCTTCCTTCCTTTCCTCCCTCCTTCCCTTTTTCATTCCTTTTCTTCCCTATCTCCCTTTTTCCTTCCTTCCTTCCTCGTTTTCTTCCCTTCCTTCCTTCCCTTTTCCTTCCCATTTTCTTTCCTCCCTCCCTTCCCCTCCCTAATGAGGGTGAATTAAGCAATTACACTTTGATCCAAATGACATGTGAAAGAATTATGGCAAAAGAAAACAAAATACGCATTTCCATCATTGCTGTTCATTGTCTGATAGGAGAACAAAAGGCATACATAACTGATCCTGGGCAATGGCCGGCTGGCAGAAGTGTGACCTCTAGATCTTCTTTCTGGAAAGGAAAAAGTGAAAAAAGAGCTTCAAATTCATTGGATAACAGAAAGGATGGAAAACTCTTGATTTTTATACTAGTATCTGGTCCCCAATGACCGGCCACAGTTAACAGGAGGCACCTGCTTAGAATTATTTGCCCATTTGTCGAGTATGCAAAACAATTTGAAATCAAAAGTCTTCCAAACATCCCCTTCTGATCCAAATACAAAGTAGTGTGAACTCTGAATTGTGGGATTTTTTTTTTTTGATAGATTCCTTCTGTTAATGGTTGGAACAGCCATAAGAAGCAGCAAAGGAGCGATTTTGTCCTGTCTTGCATTTAAGATTTCCAATTGAATGGCTAGAAAAGGAATTATTTCTTATGGTTGGTCGGTCGGCAATCAACCTTTTGAGCAACCTAAAAAAAGAGACCTAAGGCCTGGATTTCAATGGTTAACCCCCATCCCCTCCTGGAGTTCAACAACGTGGCTGCATTTGTGGCTGTTTTCAGTCCTGCATCACGTCACTTGTGTTTGACGATGGGTTAGACATTCACATTAGAAAACTTTAAATACAGGCACATATTTTGATCAAAAAGATAAAGCACTGAGTTTCAAATGAGCGTCTCACCTCTCCTGATGTTTCCTCAATGAGAGAAATTTGAGTCGGTGTTTCAACTTCCAGGGTGACCTAAATCATAGAAACCACAACAGGCAGATCAACGCTGAGAAAGGAGATATATTTATGCAATTCCTAGTGTATTTTTAATACACTAGTATTTATGGGGACACGGTGGCTCAGTGGCTAAGATGCTAAGCTTGTCGATCGAAAGGTCGCCAGTCCAGCGGTTCGAATCCCTAGTGCCGCATAACGGGGTGAGCTCCCGTTACTTGCCCCAGCTTCTGCCAACCTAGCAGTTCGAAAGCCCGTAAAAAATGCAAGTAGAAAAACAGGGACCGCCTTTGGTGGGAAGGGAACAGCGTTCCGTGTGCCTTTGGCGTTGAGTCATGCCGGCCACATGACCACAGAGACGTCTTCGGACAGCGCTGGTTCTTTGGCTTTGAAACGGAGATGAGCACTGCCCCCTAGAGTCGGGAACGACTAATACATATGTGCGAAGGGAACCTTTACCTTTTTAGTGTCTTTTTATGACAGGAAGAAGATGTAGGGGGGAACACAGATATGTGTGAAATGCCATGAATGTGAAAATGCAGCATTCTGGTTTGGTAAAAGAATGAACAGAGCAGATCTGCCTGATTAGCCAGGAAGGTTCCACTCCTATATTTGTTAATATCTTTATTATTTGCAATTATCTTTTCTCAATCATGCCTTTGAGTTCCTCGCCATATAATTCCCAATGTTGTATTTAAGAAAATTCAGTGCAAAAAAACCACTTTTATTATTTTTACAAATAATTCAGGGCAGCGAATATATCCTAAACAGTTTCCTCCTCCTGCTTTCCCAACAACCACCCTGTTAGGCGGGTTGGGCTGAAAGAGACTGGTCCAAAGTCATCCAGATAGCTTTCATATCTAAGGTGGGACTAGAATTCCCAGTCTCCCACTTTCTAGCCTGGTGCCGTATCTACTTAACAATATTATTCTTACACTTTGGTATCTATTATTAATTACTAGAATTGATTATTGCCATTGTAGTGTTTATAGGTCGTAAAGAGGTACAAGAAATGGGTAACTCACAATGTAATTTTCCCAGAATGTGTATCGCGGGCTGGACAGTAGCAATTCTTTTGTCACAGGGGAGCAATACAGGCGGAGTTTCAAGCTTGTAAGATAGAAGCAAAACAAACAAACATGCAATGCCATGTATATTTCAATTTTGGGAGCTGAAGTTCACACATCTTAAAAGTTGGGAAGATTGAGAATAATAGGAAACAATAATGGGAGACAGCTCCATTTCCTGCTGGTGAACAATTCAAAAGAACTGCATAAATGAAGAGGCATTTCTGTCTTCTTCCAGCATTCTGATCTCTTATCCAAACTATTTATTTCATAAGGCATGGAAGCCAATGTCTTCCACAAGGGAAATTTGACAATTGTGTGTAATTGCTAAGTACAGTATGTCAAATTCTGCAACGCAGGCCAGCAAGAATCTACTTCGATTACTTTTTATTTCACTTAATATCGCTTCCTTTGTACAAAGGGAAAAAATATAGAGAGAAGAAAGATGGCAAGTGAAAGAAATGCTATTGCAATATGCTTTTCGAAGAAATTCGAAAAGAGGTGATTGCAATTTGGAAGCTCCTGTAAGATGCTGTGAAGTCTGTTATTCTAGCAAAATTTAAAAGAAACGGTTCTCTACCTGCATGCCAGCCGTCTTTTCATAGAAGGGGCTTTCAGGCCTTTCATGTGATCTAAATAAAAAAACAACAACAACCTGGTATGAATTAAAATAGTCTCCATACAAATCATTAGAAAAGTATCACGTTAAATACATCAACAAGTTCAACAAGTTTTCCCCGCTTGCAAAATATCAATACCCAGACAGAAAAGCAGCCTTCAGCCTCTGCTGGGCCTTTTAGCAGCCTGTATGTATCTTTTTCTTTTAAAAAAATGATTTAAAACAGTCACCTGATCCTCTTTTGCGACCTTCCGACATACAAAACCAAGAGGGGAACCCGGTTCACTTAGCGACCGTGTTACTAACTTAATGATTTGCAGTGATTCACTTAACAACCGGGGCAGGGAAGGCTGTAAAACGGGGAAAAAAACTCGTGTCTCGCTTAGCAACATAAAATTTTGAGGTCCATTGTGGCCATAAGTGGAGGACCACCTGCATGGGCTCATGTTGTGACCCTGCAAGGGTCAGATGCGAGTTAGCGACTGAACCAGAGCAAAAGAGGCAGCGCTGGGATCTCCTGGTGGTCTCCTTTCCTTCTCCTTTCTCGCCCTTTTCCCAGAACGCCCCCCCCCTCACCCTTATGGCAGTGGGAGAGGAAGTAGGCGCGGGCGCGCAGGTTCTCCCGGTCGAAGCGGTCGATGGAGAGGTGGGGATACTCCCGCATCACCCCGCCGAAGCTACTCATGCTGCCGCCGCCGCCACCGGCTCCTCTTCCGCTTCACACTTCCGCCAGGCTCTTCCCGCCGCCCTCTCATTGGCTGAAGCGGCGCCAATCACAGGGACTCCTTCCCCAGACGCATGCGCATATAGGAACTCGGAGGCGTGGCCCTACGCTCCTTGATCTTAAAAAGATAAGGAGACTCCGCCCAGCCGTCCGAGTTCCCATTTGCGCATGCGTCCGGGTGAGGCTTCTCTGTGATTGGCGCCGCCTCAGCCTATCACAGGAAGGCCTCATATATGCTGGGGGCGAGGGAGGGAATCTGTGACCTGCGGGGTCCTAGTGCGGCATGGTTTAGGGTAGCGGAGCTTTGATGGTCCTTGCATTAAATTGACTAAGTTGTATTTACTCTGAAAAATAGAGAAGGGGAAGGTTGCCACAACCTAAAGTGCGAAAGTACGAGACACAATTTCTATATGGAGCTTCCCTACTCTGAACCCCTCGCTGATAATGATCAACCAATAATACTACGGCAGCGTGGATTGTTTTGGACTACGATTCCCAGAATTCCATCACGTCTGTCACGCTCGCTCGAGCTTCTGGGAACTGTATTTTTAGGACCTAGCGGCGAATAGAACCCGCTGATTGGCCCAAACAGACGAAGAGCCCGCCTTCGCTAGATTGGTCCTCGCCGGCAGCTCCGATTGGCTCGGAGCCCTGAACGTGTTTGGTTGCTAAGCAACCGCGTAACCGCCGCGGGTGCGGGGCGTGTCATCGGCGTGCGTGGAGGAGCACACCTGAGGTAAGTCAGGGCCGGCCGGGGCGGCTGAGGGAGGCCGGCTTCCTTTCGGCTGAAGATAAGCGTTGTAGTCCCGGCCAGGGTAGGAGTGGCCGGCGATGGAGAGAAAATAGGGGAATAAGGGCTCGTCTCGTTTTACTTTCCCTCATAAACATAGTTTTTGATTGGTCGCCACTAAGGCCCCGCCCCTTTTGGGTGGCAACTCCGCTCCCTGCTCGAAGCATCGCGAGATTTGGGCGGGTGAGGCGGGAATAGGGCTCTGCACGTGTTTGGGCCGTTGGTTCACATTTTGGCGGGAATCTGTTTGAGGGGCTTTTGAGGGGCGAACTGTGCGCGTCTCTGTGCTGCACACGGCCCAGGATTATAAAAATCTATAAAAAAATTTTAATTTACAAAAACATAGATTCTATAAATATAGGAAAATACTTTCTGAATTTTCAATCAAAAAACTGCGACTTGAAGATTTGGCATCTCACTTGCCATTCAGGATACCAAAAAGCAACTAGTAATTACAAATAATAACTAATAATAATGATTACATATTTAATTAATCCTCAATTTTCTGGTTCAATTAAAATATATATATATGCTGAGCTATTTATGAGGTTTCCTTCTCACATTTCATGAATATCGTTATCTTGAACCCGTTTTGGCTCCTCATAAATAGAAAATTGTTCCCTTTTATATGTGGGTTTTTTTTAACCGTGCGTTTTGTTACATCAGTTTTGTGAATTCGTTATTGCTATTGGATTGCTACGTTGAAATAAGAGAGTTCAAAATAAACTCTGTATTTTCCTAGAACATTTTTCTCCCGTGCTAAGGAATGTGTAAACTTTTCCTTATTTCCTATTTTTTTCTATTCCAGCTCCTTCCCAAATTAATATTTTGATAACTAAACGTGACTTGCATCCTCTAATTAGCTGAAGTGATGGCTTCAAATTGCAGACTTTCCTGATAAATCAAAAAATGCAGGGTACAATGTGTATATATTATTCACAACTGATACACAAAGGTAGCCCTCGACTTACGACCACAATTGAGCCCAAAATTTACGTTGCTAAGTGAGATTTGTTGAAGTGAGTTTTGTCCCATTTTACGACCTTTCTTGCCACAAGTGGTTAAGTGAAGCCTTGCAGTTGTTAAGTTAGTAACCTGGTTGTTAAGTGAATCTGGCTTCCCCATTGACTTTCCTGGTCAGAAGGTCCCAAAATTTGTTCACATGATCTGGGTGACGCTGCAACCGTCATAAATACGGTATGCCAAGCATTTAATGTGATCACTGGGATGCTGCAACGGCTGTAAGTGTGAAGAATAAGGTCATAAGTCACTATTTTCAGTGACGTAACTTTGAACTCTTGTAAATTGACAACTTACCTGTGTATCATCTTCTTTAGCAGAATGGCAAAAACAACATATTGTAAAAACTGCAAAACTGTAAAGATTTTAAGGTCTTTTTTTAGCTAGGCTGCCTTTTTATTGAGCCCTGATGGCCCACTGGTTAGAACGCAGTATGACTGCCCACTGCCAGCAGTTTGATCCTGACTGGCTCAAGGTTGACTCAGCCTTCTGTCCTTCTGAGGTCAGTAAAATGAGGACCCAGATTGTTGGGGGCAATAGGCTGACTCTGTAAACCCACTCAGAGGGGGCTGTAAAGCAGTGTGAAGGGGTGGATAAGTGCTGTTGCTATTTATATTGCTGGTATCATGCTTGTTGTTTTTTTGCAGAAGCGCCTATGGAAAGTTCAGCTTTGTTTATGGACAGTAAGAATATGGCCTGTGCATCTTTCTCTTCTGGAGAAGCACATATGACAGATAAGCCTGGTACGTCCTTCAGTAGAGGAGCAGATAGCCCTGAAGACACGTAAGTGGCCATCATGCAGGGTCTTCAGGGTGACATCCTGTTGATGGAAGGTTTTGTTCATTTGAGGATGTAAATCGGAGTAATTATAATCTATCATGTCTCAAGAAGTTGGGGGAAAGGAAGGAAGGAAGGAAGGAAGGAAGGAAGGAAGGAAGGAAGGAAGGAAGAAAGAAAGATGAGCCTGCTAGGAACTAAAACCAAATATGGGAGGAGACAAAATGGAGATCTACAGATGTATTTATTATTTATTTGTTAAACTTCTTTGCTGACTGTCTTGCCGTGAGGATACCCTAGATGGCTCTACTTCCTAAGAGCTTTTCTTCCACCTTACTTTCTTTTTGGAAGCAACGGGACAAATCAGAATTTATATTCTAAATATATGCATATTTTGGCTGGAAAGAATAACCGAAGGAGAGGAAATCTGAGTCTAAAGCCATTATTATTTATTCCCTTTTTTCAATAGTAGCTCTGTTTTTCAAAAGTACAGCTGCTTTTTGTCAAAAACAATTGGTAAGTCTTTTGGGTGGTATCAAAACAGTTCATAATACAGTTATGGCTTTAGTTAATTATGTCCATACATTTAGTTGCAATGTCTTTTCATAAAAAATTTGATGATGTTTCTTCTACTCTTTTTTATGCATATCATTGCAATTTAAAAAAAAAATAATTCAGCAAGTTAGCCGGTGATGTTTCCGGGGCAACAGCCAGTATTGATCGCAAGCCAAAATTCATGCAGCGGGCCAAAACATGGTCGGATGAAGTTGAAAATTTATACAGATTTCAGCAAGCTGGCTATAGAGATGAAAATGAATATAAACAAGTAAAGCATGTTGATGTGGTAAGACTTGATAAATTTTAAGAATTGAGCATTTTAAAGATGAAAACTTACTATTCCATACAATAATCTCCTTAGGTTTGTGATACTTTTTCATCATTTCCTCCTGGCATGATTTGTTGCTGTTGGTAGAAAAAGCACCATCAGAGAATTTGTTCAGTGAGGGTTTCTCACATAAATGACAAGTAACTGAACTGGTGCAACGTGGCAAACTATGAAAGATAGGTATAAATACCGATGACTGAATTTACCCATTTTGGAATCTATGGGTGGAGAAACTTTCAAATACATTCCTCTCTCTAAAGATTTACTGGTCATGTATTATTACCATTTGCTGAAGAGCTGCTATCATACACATAAGTTTACCTGCTCTGCAATATGTTTTCCGTATTTAATTAACATTTTATATTTTGTGACTATGTGTTAGTATATATGCATAAATAAGCTGCCTTTGATTTTTTGAAGAAACTATAAAATATATAAAAATAATAATAATCCAAATTCACAAATTTAATAGCATGGGAATGGCACAAGACACTTTTCGTGTGCGATCAAAAATATTTTCTTGATTTTAATGTCCAGTTGCGTTCATATTGAATTAGATGACCCTGCAGCCAGTATTTGCTCATAGCAAATGCTTTTCTGTTGGTTCAGTCATGTGTCTAGTTGGAATCCAAGCAATTTAGGGCATTAAACTTTTTGATTGGGTCCAGAAAAAAATAATGTAAGTTACTTTCATGTGCATGTCTATGTGAGAAATTATTGTTTCCATTTGGAGACTACAAAGAAAGAATTGAGCTGACTCTTTATCTTAACTCCATGGTTACTTCAGGGGCCTGGAGTGCTGGCTTCAAAAGAGCCCTTCTCTGTTTATTCTTGGCTTTCTGTCACTAAGGAGAGAAGCAAAGGGGAAGAAGAGTAGGGATTTTATGGGAGTAGGGAGTGGAAAGTGGGATTTCCATTATGTAGAAACACCCATCAGCGAGGGATTGAAAAATGTTGAAATTGGGGAAACACTGCCATGGTGTAGCTGGAGATTTTTGGAGAAGCACTTCCTAAGCACACTTCGATATGTGCAGAGGGAGGGAGGGAGGGGAAGAAAATATTTTCAGGCTGCAGGCATCCATCTGACCACCCAAATTGTTTTTTAATCTTGGGTAAAAAAAGAAGTGCATGACACATAATAGTCGTTGGCTGGCATTCAAAAAGCTAATTCAGAAGGCTTCTCTATTGGAGAGGAGCTTCTGAAGCCCAGCCAACCGCCTACTTCATAACAAGTCTGATTTTTTTAATCTCTCTCAACTCTCAGGAGCACTTGGTGATATAGTATTGTGGGCAGGCAGAGCTGCCTGGCCATCAGCTGTTCAAAGACACTGCGAATCCCACTAAATTAGGCCCAAATCTTGGAACAAGTAAATGGTTCTCGGCCCTTCTGTTAAGAACACAGATGTATAATGGATCCACGAGAAATAGATTTTCCGGGCTTCTTAAAGAATACTGAATAACACATTTATGGACAGAACAAATGGAGGGTTATGCCACCCTTGACTAATCAATAGGACTTGCATACATAACAAAAAGGAGCATTTAGGGATTACAGCTGCATCTCCTGTGTGCTCTGGCTGCGTCAGCGCAACCTGACTTTGAGCCAAGAGATTGCTTCCAGAGGGGTCCTGTGGCAGTCCCCTACAAAGAGACAATTATGACGATGTTTTGATGCTGGTCAGGAGGCCCCTGAGATTATGATTGTGTTTCCTCCTTCAGTCTGAGCGAATGAAAATGTTTTCTCTTTCTAATAATGCTTCAGAAAACCTAGATTCACCCTGATGGTCATTTCATTCTGAAAACAGCCCCTCTGTGGGAACCCTTTTCCCACTCACTGGAGTCCTTTAATGCTGCATAAAACAACTGAGTTAGTCCTTGTTTGCTTACTCTAAAAAAACTTTTGCCCCCTCTATTGAAAACTTCACTGACTTGTGTTCTAGCCTTCAAGAAAATCTGCAACGATATTAAATTTGATAGAATTTGTGATTAATTCTTTCTTTCTGATAAGATGTATTTTGAGAGCACAGGAACACTTCACATTTACTATTGAAAGTTAAAGAAAATTAAAAGTATTGCTTACTGAGATGTTTAGTCAAGTCTTCTGAATGGAAGCTACTGATTAAAACAATAAACTATGAGCAACACAAAGTACTTAGTCATTCGAATCTTTATAAGAATAAAGGGATAAGATAAGTTGTGTCAGCTTTAAATGAACTGAACCCGAAAACTCAAAACTCTTTGAACCATTTGAACAGAATGAAAAGTCACAGAATTCCATACCAATTGAATTAGTTGGAATACTGCTGACCAACTCTTTTCGAAGAGAATGTTGAAAAGGGGAGATTGTGAAATCCTGAATTTCTTTCTATCTGCATTGTCAACTTTGGATCAGGTTTGGGATCCTATGCTCAGCATGCCTGGTCTCCTCCTGTATATTTGTCCCATATACGTTATACAGTATGTAATCCTTTTTTCCGTCCCTTATTCAAGTTTCACTAGCAGAACCTATAGATAAATGTGTGCTCAGCCATTCCAAGAACACATGGGCACTTTCCTTCTTCTTGTTTGCATGCAGGTGGAAAGGTGGCCAGAAACTGGATTTGTGAAGAAGCTTCAGAGGAGGGACAATACTTTCTACTATTATGATAAGGAAAGAGAATGTGAAGACAAAGAAGTCCATAACGTTAAAATGTATGGCTACTGATCTATGTCTCTCATCCACTGTTTTTAGAAATGATTTTTTTTGTCTTGAATAGAATGGAACCCATTAAAAAGTTTTTAAGAGTAACTTGATCTGATTTTATATGTGGCTCCGCTCTGTGAAAAAACAAAAGTAAATATATTTTTAATGGGCAATGTAAAAGATAATAAATTGATTTTGAGATTTCTGTTCATTGGGGCTGTGAAGGTATATCTGTTTACCTGGAGATGAACTTAGTGGACTTCTTCAGGTGTGTGCATTGTGCTATTGTCTTGGCTTGGCCTACTTCATATAATGTATTTTCTGTGTAAAGTGGTTATAAGTTTCTCCCTGGCTCTCCAGTTCCATTTTACTTCTGTTTCAGTAGGTGAATTTTGTAAGAAAGCTTTAGCCATAACCAAGTCCACATTGCTACTTTTAATGCTTTAAAAGGAAAAGGATGAAATGGTGGGGTCCTTGGTGCTCTCTGAGCTTGGTGGTTTTCTTGCAGACGTTTCATGACCCAACTGGGTAACATCATCAGTGCACAGTTCAAAGGCACGAAAGCCCCTACAGGGAAAGGATCTGCTGCTCTGCAGCAAACGTGACCAGATGTGTTTGTGAGGGCTGCGTGTACCTAGGAAGTCTTTAATGCACAATTCATTTCTCTGTGAGAAAAGGTGCTCTCCCGAAAATGTATGTATGTTACGTGCATGGTATGGTGCGCCTTTGAAGTGGAGCCTTTATTACAGTTTACCTTGAAGGACAGCAGTTCCTGTTTATGACATTTATGCTACAATGTCAGCTTCTTTGATCCTTAAATATATAACTGGGAGGACCATGTTCTCCTTCAGCATTTTACCAGGGAACAAATCGAGGCCTACTCTGAACTAAGAAAAGAAAGCCCTGGAGAATGAATTTGCTGGCTCCAGGCATTGGAATTCCTTTTGCCTCTCCCCCAGGCATGTCAGAAACAACAGGCGAAGTTGGCCCTTCCCTCGCCCTCCCAATCCTCCCTCACTGTTCCTATCATGAAGGCAGAAGACGTCGGACAGACCCGGCTGCCATTTAGCAGTGACGCTCTGAGAGCAAGTACGAACGTACCCAGGTGGGCAAGAGATCTTTGCATCAGGGCACCAGGCCATTTCTGGTGGCCATGTTTGGCATTCCCCATGTTCCTTCTCTAATACAACAAGCTTCCTTAATCTCTACCTTCTTCCACATCTGCTAGAAGGTTCCATGAGAATGGTGCATGACAGTCTGTCTGAAGGGTACCTGTCAGGGAGGGGTTTTGCCTCCATGAAACTCTGGCACCCAATACATCCAGCTTTCGCTAAAGGTGGCAGTGACCTCCTTAGCAGCGGGAGTTGGGCAGGAAATGCAATTCCCTCAGCGATAATCAGATTAAAAAGTACAAAACGAATGTAACGTACGATTCCACAGCAATAAAACACGACAGCCAAACTCCCAAGTGTTTGGAGGTTTCTGGGGCAACCCTGCATTGTGCTGGAGGAACAGAACAATGCAGACGGGCGCGTAGCTTTTATGGGGACGGAGAGCAGGCAGACGCGTCCTTTGGCCTTCTGAAGCACAGGACCCAAGAAATTCCAGCCTTAACAATCCAAAGGTTGTAATAACAGAATAGGAAAATAATTCCAACTGAAACCAGTTGGTCAAAAAATGCACCCTGAGTAGTAGGATTCAACTTACTCTGAGAAGCCTTTGTTGGTAGGGCTGTGGGGTTACGGCCTAAAATGCCCAACCCCTGAGAGGGCAGTTTGGAAGCCTTATTTTTTTTGTCCTGTTCAGTGACCCCTGGATCTGGCTCCACTTTTGCTGCATGGGGTCTCTTCTGGATTTTGATCAAAGATCACTTTCATCCTTGGGGGTGCTCAGTTGCAGGGAAGCCGGGGGGGGGGGGGTTCGGTCCAGAAGGCGCGAGGGCGGTGTCAGTCGGTGCGTGCCTTTGGAAGGGTCCTGAGCCAGACATGCATTTTGTGCCATTTGGGAGCAAATCCGGACTGTCCGTCTCTTGCAGAAGATTTTGGCAATTCCAAATGAGTTTCTTACACCTCCCCAGAAGGGGCAGCCTCCACGTCCCCATGCAGGCCCTTCCCCTGCCAGCAAAGGCTGGGACGGAGGACTCTGCCAGAGTCCTCTGCCTCCTCCCTCTCATTTGGGGCTGGGGGCTCTTAACCTGCTCCCCCTTTCACTCCTTCCCGGCTGGCAGCAGCAAAGCCCCAACTGAAAGAGTGGATCTGTGGGAAGGACCAATCTGGGTCGGTCACCAGGAGACTTCCAAGCTTTGGGACCTGTGCTGGAGCCCCTCTTCAGGGATACACGGGTGCCTTCATTCATTCATTCATTCATGGATAGGTCCCTCCTCTGCGGGGGGGTGGGGGGGCTTATTACTTTGCTTTCCCATCTCACTACTGCAGAGACAGGTAGTTTTCATCTTACAACTATAATTGAGCCCAGAATGTCATGCTTAAGTCATGCCAGTCATGAAGTAGATAACCTGATTTTAAAACCTTTACTGCAGTGGTCAGTAAATGCAGTTGTTAATGCCACAGTTGTTAAAGTGAACATATTGGATCTAATGGGCCTTTTTATTGGAAATCAGCAATAAAGACCAGGTTGCAGTCATGTGCAAATGGCCGTAAATCACCTTGACCAGGGGTGATATTTAGCAGGTTCTGACGGGTTCTGGAGAACCGGTTGCAGAAATTTTGAGCAGTTTGGACAACCGGCAAACACCATCTCTGGCTGGCCCCAGAGTGGGGTGGGAAGGGAGATTTTGCAGTATATTTCCCCTGCCATGCCCACCAAGCTACGCCCACATAACCGGTAGTAAAAAAAAATTTAATTCTACCACTGACCTTGACACTGAGTCGAAAGTAACTCTGGGGTGGTCCCTTGTAACTCTGAACAGTCATGAAGTGACCGATTTTCAGTTGAGAAGTTAAGTTGGGAAAGGCTGGCCTAGGCGATAAAAGTGATCACCGAAAGGATAAAGATGAGAGCCGAAGGAGCTTCTTGGATGAGAAGCGAAACGTCTTCAAAAGAAAAAACCAGAAAGTCCAGTTGCCTCTTGAAAAAAAAGCACCTTTGGGACAAACGTGACCTGGATGACGGAGAATCTCCATAGATAAAAGACGAGACTTCCTCGTTTTTCAAATCTTTTTTAACTGTCATGGCTTCTCCCGTGGAATCATCATAACCGGAAGTTCCATCCTGAAGATGTGGCTTTTCCAGTGAGTGAAATTCTTCCGGCATTCTGGAAACTGCGGGTCCTCCTGGATCTTTCAGGGGGAGAAAAAAAAAAGGGAAAACGAAGGCAATCGTGTGTAGAACATCCCGAAAAGATTAAACCAGGTATGGTTGGTTGTTTTTGTGTAACTATTCAAAAGTAAACTCAAGAGCGTTCCTGAAATTCAGTTGTTTGTCACTAGACTCGAGGTCCGAGTAGAGTTGTCAGGTTTTGCCACGAGCGTCCGTCAGTAAATAAAAATAAAATCTTACGAATAAAATCCTGAATACATAAACTCTTGGCACGGAGAGAGCAAGCAAGGTCCATGATGTTTGTTTGTTAAACCAAGTTAATGCAATGATTTGAGCAAGAAGGATTTAATATTTCCTTTAAAGAATTAATACTATGGTTGGCTTTACATACGGATTGTACATTGTTTTTCAACATGTGAGTTAAAATACCATAGATTTACCAAACTCGTTCAACTAATGCTCCCCAACTGGATTTCCTAAAACAACATTAGATACAGCCACCTCAGAATATGACTTAAAATTATGACAATAAATAGTGGAAAATAAAGGACTTGGGCTTTGCTCTAGTTTTCTGTGGCTATGAGTGGTAGAGGCCTTTTTTTTTTAACCCATCAATTTCACAGCTGCCGCAAATTCTCACAAAAGCAACATTTCAGATGAGGAAATGAGAGGTAAAAACTGCCTTTAGTTCTGGTTTCTTCACCCCCAAGGAATCTTGGGAACACTAGCTGGGAGAAGAATTTGAATGGGTTTACTTAGAAAATTCATAAAACTACAGTTTATGGAGTTCCATGACAGTTAAGCCATTTCCATCCATACAGAGAGCAAAATCCTAACATCTTGTTCCAGAGTGGATAATGTTGAAATCAATGGCACTACTCAAAAACTACTTGAGTGGCCCATTTCAACGGCTCAAGAGTAAGAGGAAAAAGGAACCCTGTTTAAACTACTTTATTTCATTAACCTAGCTTACTTTGGATATGCCATTTTTCTCTCTCTCAAGGATTCAAACTCCATCTAAACGCGGTTTCCAACTTGTATATTTTCTGCTTTAGAAATGAACCCAGGTTGGGTTACTTAAAACGTAGACAATATTCTTTGGAGATAATTATTTTCGTTTATTTTTCCTCTCGTTTTTATTTTACACATCATGTACAAGATCCTTCAGCTCTTTTGATGAATAGCTTGTTAGATGCAGCTGTACAAAGGAAACTTTTCTGTGGGTATAAATAGAATTGTTTTGCAAAGATACTGTGGTAAGGAAGGGCGCGGTGGTTTCTGTTTTCTGTTGTGCACCTTTGATGTATGTGAATGAAATTACAACTACTAGTAATAAACTATGAGCAATGTTGGAAAAACTTTCCCCTTTCCCCCAAGTAAACTACAAAAAGCTAACCTCTGTAGGCAGCTTTGAGATTTTTATTGATCTGTAACAACAAGGGGTTTTCTTAGAGGAAACGACAAAGCTTTGCAAAAAAACAAACCATCTGTTAAGATGGCTACATCCTCTTCCTGCTTACCTTATTAGGAGGAACAAGCATTGGCCGGTTCAGGGTAGAAACTGCTTGTCCTTGACTGTAGACACTGGCTTCGTTCTTTCTTTAGGAACTGTCAAGAGATAGCAGATTGAACAAAGAGAGCTTGTTTTAAATGCACGTTATCAACCTGGCTTCCTTCTGGATTCCCTCCCTCCCTCGCCTGTATCTTACTCTGCATTTTACCTGCCATCGAAGTGGCGTCTAGCTTATTCTAGTGGCTTTGGTCAGGCCTGATAATGTTGCCTGATTTTGGGGGTGGGGGTGTCTTGCACCACATATTTCTGCTAAAGAATGGAAGCAAAAAAAGAATATGGTCGAAATGAGGGGTCTTCGGTGCTCTCTGAGCTTGGTGGTTTTCTTGCAGATGTTTCATGACCCATCTAGGTAACATCATCAGTGCTGCAAGGGAGTGGGGTTTGTGAGGAGGAGAACTGTGAAGGTTGTTGGTGCTCTCATAGCTGAGTGGTTTTCTTGCAGACATTTCATGACCCAGCTAGGTTATATCATCAGTCCTGCTCTTAGAGGTTTTCCAAGATGGTGTGTTGGCATTTGTTTAATCCGAGGTTTGCTCACTTTCTTGAGCTATTTTCCATCCAGCTACATTGGACACAAGTGGAGGGGAGGGGGGGGCTGCCGTCACAGGCCTTTGTGCAGAAAGAACAGTTGTTCCTACGTGCAAAATTTCTCCCCTTTGCTTGCAAATGTCTGAAGCATTTGGACACCCACAAAGGCTTCCTAGAGAAGAGAATCATTTGCAGGTTGAACGGTGGCGTTTCTGAGCTGGGTGGTCTTCTGGCAGACATTTCATGACCCAACTAGGTAACATCATCAGTGTTAAAAGAGGCTCTAATCCAGGGTGGGTGAATAGCTCCCCTTTATGGACCTGCGGACTTCAATTCCCAGAATTCTTGAGCCAGCCAAGAACAGATGAAGGGTTTGTATTAATACAAAAGGGTCACCTCCCTGTAGTTTCTCCTTCATTTTTTTCCTGCAACCAGGAGAGAAGGAGGCTCAGAAAGAAGAAATGGCAGCATTGTTGGCTGCCGCCCAGTTGCTTCAACTCCCCTCCCTTCCCCCCCCCCCCCTTTTGCCTTCTCTGCCATAACAACAACCAAGTTTGGAAAAGTTGCCCTCAAGTCCGTTTTCTCCTCCATTGCATTGGATTTTTTAAAGACGTTGGGAGTGTAGCAGACGGACAGAAGAGTGTCGAGAATTCGAGGGAGACCAATACAGCGAACATTCCTATTACGAAATGGTTTTATCCTACAGTTTTATGATCCAGTAAATTAAGGGTTCCCTATTTTTCCAGAGCTCAGTGAACACTTCTCGTCAACTTGGTTTCTGTTCCTACCAAACTGGTTTCTTTCCTGGCCAGATTAAAATATCTAACAATTTAAAGCAATTACTTGATCTAATCTCGAGTGGCCCTCAAACAGACTTTCTGAAGTGTGGTTAAACGCAGGAAACGCTGCAGCTCTTTATTGGATTGATTTGAAGAATCCGGAAAGCCTTTCGTATTTCGGTTTTCCTTCCCGTCAGACCGCATGTTTCTTTCTCCAGGTGCTCCATCAATCTGACCCAAAGCACTTCCCTCCGTCAGATTTCAAAACCATAACTTGGCTGAATAATATTCTCCACGCAAGGAAAAGGAACACTTGAGAATCCCAGGAGAATACAAGGAGTTTCTCATCAAGGAGAAGTTGGGTGGGAACAGGATCTGGGCCCTCAAACTCTCTGGGAGTTTCCAGCTTCAGCAACTTTTCAAAACGGTGACTTTTTTGTTGCTAAAACGGGACCTACATCAGAAATTGTTCCACTGACAGGGCTGGTCAGAAGGTCGCAAAATATGCCACTGAAACCGTCATTAATATGGAACAGTTGCCAAGTGTCACAACTTACGACCAAAATTTTGGGTTCAATTACGGTCAAGAGCTGAGGACTACCTGTCTCATAGGTTAGAATTTGATCATGTGACCAAATGGTCCTAAGCCACTTTTTTCAGTGCCATTGTAACTTTGAATGGTCACTAAATGAACTGTTAAAAGTTGAGGACTACCTGCAGAAAGCAGCAGGAATATTAAAAAAAAAACAGATTTACACCCAGTGTGACCTCCAAAAATCCAGATGACTGCGAAACGGGGTTAGGCGATATGGGAAACTAGCGATTGGTTGTGTGAGAAGGCCCCCCTCCCCGAAGAATGAAATATTTTGGGGGGGATATTAAAAAGCCAGGATAGAATATTTCCCCTAAAGGAGAAATGGGGGGAAAAAACTCAAGGGAGGCAGAAACCAGCCCCCGTTTCCCTGCCCCAAGCAGAAACTGAGGCGGCCAGCTTTTAGAAATGCAGATTTGGTCATCCATTCAGAAAGACTGGGCCAGATGGAAACTCCAGATAAGCAACAAACAAAAGGTTGACAAGATTAGCTCAGAGAAACACTTAGGATTTGCATTTCTCCTTTTGCCTATAGAGCCGGCCAGGACCCCTACATGGCCCCATAGGAATCCAGAAGGTCTTAAAAACCCACCCACTCTCAACTCCACTTGGCCAGCTGCCCCAGAACCACCAACCCTGGGGGTTCTGCTTCATCAATAAATGGGCCTTCTTTCCAATCGGCCTCCATGTTCTTTCTCCCAGCCTGAAACTGACCCAGATCTGGGATTTTCCTGCCAACGGGTACTGGGTTCAGGATTTGGCTGCCAGGCGCCTCATCATCTCTGGCTCAGCCGTCAAGGTTTGTAGCTGTCACAAGGCCAGTTGCAAGTTCTTCTGGCCAAACCCTTGAGAAGCCAAGGGGCCCCGAGTGGCCTTCAGGAGAAATGACACCCTCACCGGGGCTGGGATGGATGGAGCCCTTGGCAAGCTTCGGAGAAGCCCCTTCTGGCCAGGAGCTCCTCCTCCTCCTCCTCCTGGTGTAGCTACTACCGGCATCTCTGGAGCTGTCCGCCCGACGCATCCCTCCCCCGCCCCCCGAAGCAGCCCCAGGAAGAGCAGAGCAAACGCCAAAGTCAACCGCGGGGGCCGTAGCCTCCGCACAGATAGACTGCTCCCGGACCTGGAGGCTTCACCGGCAAAAACCCGACCTCCCCACCGGAAAACCCGCCTGGTCTCCCGGGTTCGGGAGACCCACCGGGAGCCGCGCTCCGGTTGCCAAGCGGCGGCCAAGCCGCGGGCGGCTCCCGGGCCGAGGCGAAGCCAGCCCAGGTCGGCGGCCCAGGTGCCGAGCTCCGTGCTCCGGGATTGGCGCAGCGGGGCCAATGAGCGGGCGGGCCGGGGAAGAAGGCAGGAGCGGCGGAGGCGGAGGCGGCGCGGGGGACTTTGCGACAGCGGCCCAGAGCCAGAGCCGGAGCGCGCCCGGCATCTGCAGGAGGTGGGGAAGCGCGCTGGAGCGTTGGGGTCGCCGGGGTTCTTCCTCGGAACGTTCGGCTCTCCGGGGTTCCTTCTTGGAACGTTCGCGTCGCCAAGGTTCTTTCTCGGAACGTTGCGGAGGCGACTTTCCCGGGCAGGTGCGGCTTTCGGGCGGGGGGGGGGGGGGGGGGGGAGCGGCGCTGGAAAGGGGGGCGCGGGGGGCTTTTGCTCCGGCCGCCTTCAGGTTGCGCTTCTTTCGCTTCTTGCGGCTGCTCCGACACTTGTAAGGGATGGCCCCGCAGGGTCTCCTGCCTGAGCGGAGGGGATCGACTAGAAGGCCTCCCAGGGCCCTCCCAACTCCGCTCGGGCGGTTTTCCGAGAGGAAGAGGAGCCGGAGTGTTGACCGGGGGTTGATTTGAGAAATAAAATCGGAACCTCCCAATCTGGGCGTCCTAGCGCCTGCCTGCCTGCCTGCCTCTCTGGAGCCGATGCGGGCTTGGAAGGGGAGCTAAGCACTGCCAAGGGAGGGGGAAGGGAGGGGGGGCTGGAAGCCATCCAACCAACAGGAAGCCCCTCGGGTAGGGGGAAGGAAGAGTGTGGGGGGGTCTTCCCTGAGCCCCTTTCCTCTCTCCCAGGAAGCCCCTCTGAGGATGCCACTGAATGCCAGCCGGTGCCAGATTCAGAAGCGCTTCCCCCACTCTGAAGGTTTCCGCACTTTAAACTCCCCGGGGGTGGGGGTGGGGGGGTCTTCTCGGAGCAGAAGCTAACCTGGTTCCTCCTGCAGCCACTTATTGCTCAGATGCTGGCCTGCCTAAGGGGTCCCCTGTGCGGGACACCCTTCCCTGCAAAACAGCCTGGGATTAAGCGGTGTGCAATCTGCAGGATTAGCCTCACACCTCGGTTGCAGCTTCTGACCCGGGTTTCAGGCTCCTCCTGCCCCCGAGGAGCCCAAGGTCGGCGGTTCCACCTGGAATTGCCCAACAGACGGGCTGCCTTCCCACAGCCGCCTTCCCCGGGTGACTCACTTGCCTCCTTTTCCCCCGCGTGGAATTTATAGCAGGCTAAGAAGCACCACAAAGACACACTAACTGAGGTTAATCCCCCCCCCCCCCCCCCAGGTTTAGCATGTAGAAGAAAGGAGAGTCAAACTTCAACCCATGAAGAGGATGTCACTCTGCCTTGTTAGGAAATTTCTCAAATTGACATGCTATGTGCAGGAAGTTGATAATGGAGAGGGAATGCCAAATTTCTTTCTTTCTTTCTTTCTTTCTTTCTTTCTTTCTTTCTTTCTTTCTTTCTTTCTTTCTTTCTTTCTTTCTTCTTTCTTTCTTTCTTTCTTTCTTTCTTTCTTTTTCTTTCCTTCCTTCCTTCCCTCCCTCCCTCCCCCCTCCTTCCCTTTCTCCTGTTTCCTTTCTCCTACTCATTTCCTTCCTTCCTTCCTTCCTACCTACCTACCTACCTACCTACCTACCTACCTACCTACCTACCCATCCATGCATCCTATCTTCTATTGTTTTATTCAAACCTTTAGTAAAATTGTTTGGGGGGGAAAAAGAGAGAGAAATCCAGGCAGTGGTCCCAGATTCGCAGTCTCTCCTGGCCCTGCAGGGTCCCTCTCTTCAACTCACAGCTGTAAGGTTCGGGGTGGGGGGTGGGAGGGAATCTTCCTGGAGCAAATGGTTTGGGTGGCCTCCCCCTCGGCCTGCCCCAGCTCCAGCCATGACCAAACCAGCCGCCTGAACCGACTGGGGAGTCCTGGGGGGGGGGTGGAGAGGGAGCTGGCCCCCCTTCTGAGTGCCGCTCTGTTCTTTCTCTCCTCAGCTGCTGATCATGAGGAGCAGAGTTGAGGCTTGGAGGAGAGGCCCGGATCCCCGGCCTTGAACCGCAACCAGCGCTCCAGAAGGCATGCGTTTCTCCTAGAGGTCGGCCGTCCCCCCGCCCGATGTCCCGCCTGCCCCCGGGGCTCCAGGAACCCTCTTGGGAACAAGGCATGACTCTGTGTTGAGGCTCTTCAGACCTGGACTCGAGAAGGAGCCTTGGGAAGGGCATCATGGAGGACTTCACGACCAGGACGTACGGGACCGGAGGCTTGGATAACCGGCCTCTTTTTGGAGAGACGTCGCCAAGGGTAAAGAAGGAAGGAGCTTCTCTTGGTCTCTGAGGCAGGGTTTCCCCAGCCGTGGCCGGACTTCCCACTCCCGGAATCCCCCACCTGGGAAGTCCGGCCGTTGAAGGCCGCCCATCTTAAAGTTGCCAAGGTCTAACGTAGGGGTGTCGGGCTTGATTTCATTGAGGGCGGCCTCAGGGTTGTGTTTGACCTCAAGGGGGTGGGGGAGGGCTGGGGGGGCGTGGCCAGCTCGGCGTCACTCATGTCAGGGGGGCCTGTGGCGGCCCAAGCGCTCTGCCAGCGGAAACAGGCCCCCGAGCTCCGTTTCCGGCTACAACGGCCTCCTGCCACCGCCTGCCATTGAAAACGGAGCTCTGGAGGGCCTGTTTTTGCTGGCAGAGGCACTGCAGGCCGGCCCTTTGCTGTTTTCAGGGGGGGCCCTGCGGGCCAGATGCAAGCACCCCATGGGCCGGATCCGTCCCGCGGGCCTTGAGTTTCACACCTCGGGTTTAATGGGCCTTTTGCCCTCCAAGGAAGGCTTAGCAGTCCATCCCACAGCTGGTTTCTGCCCCAGAAGGTGGCAGCGATGTATGCCTGAGCAGCTGGCTGCCAGTTCCAGCTGCACCTGGGCTCCAGAGCTGGCACAAGATAGGCAGGAGAAGAGACCAGGGTTCGAATCTGATCTCGGACGCCAAGGCGAAAAGTAGGCCAGTCATGCTTTCGCAGCCCACAAAGACCTCCGCGTTGGGTGTTTTGAGTTGCTGTTGACGCCCCCCTTGGGCTTCTCAAGGTGAGATGGAAAGGAAAGAACCTTAGGCCCTGCGTGCAATCTGGGATCGACAGGTCTTCCTCGAGTTACGACTATAATTGAGCCTGAAATTTATGTCGCTAAGTGAGACATTCGTTGGGTGAATTTTGCCCCGTTTCACGACCTTTCTTGCCACAGTTGTTAAGCGAATCATTGCGTGAATATGGTTGTTAATCGAATCCAGCTTCCCCCTTGACTTGGCTTGTTCCAGAAGGTCGCAAAAGGGGATAACGTGACACTCCCCCCCCTCCCACGGGACAATGCGACCGTCATAGATACGAACCAGTTTGCCAAGCATCCGAATTTTGATCACGTGACCCTGGGGATACTGCAACGGTCGTAAGTGTGAAAAAAACGGTCGTAAGTCACTTTTTTCAGCACCGTTGTAACTTAGAACGGTCACTAAACGAAGGGTTGTAAGTCTTTTGGTTCCACCGTGCAGATGGCTCTGGTCACCCAGGAGTTTCCAAAACGGCGGCCTCTGCTCCGTTTTGTGACGACGGAGGTTGCGTTTAGGGTGAGCCTTCACGGAGTTTTCCTAACTCCCCCCCCCCGCCACCGGCTGGGGACTGCAGCCACGTGTGGGAGTTCTCCTGCCTTGGAGTGCGATGGAGCAATCCTGTGATTGTGTAACTCGGGCACAATGGCAGCCTTTCGCCTGCAGGCTTTAGAAGCTCCCACTGACTCCTTTGGGGTCCTCTCCTATAAAGAGCTCTTTGTGTTGCGCAAGCTTAATTGTGACAGAATTAAGGGTGGGATTTCCTCGGCTTTAACGGGATTATTTCAACAAACTTTCCAAGATATATATATATATTTTGCCAGGAGCCTCTGGCTTAAATTCAAGTATGAGACTCTAGACTTTATAGTTGACGTGGAGTTTTCTTCTCATTTGCCATGCTCATTCATGGGCTGTGCAATAAACAGCTTGTATTTTGGAGTTTGTTAGATGACGTTTTTCTCCTCGGTTGATGTCCTCCAAAGAAGTTGGAGCACACGGTTTTCAAAGCCCCCAACCAGCTTGGTATGTTTTTTGTTGCATTGTTTTATTCTCTGTTGTAAGCCGCCCAGAGTCCCTTGGGAGTTGGGCGGCATAGAAATGCGACAAATAAAATAAATAAAATAATAAATTAATAGGAGCGTGATGGTGAACCTATGCCACAGGTGGCACACAGAGCCATTTCTGTGGGCACGCGAGTTGTCGCCCTAGATCAGTTCCACTGTGCATGTGTGTGTGCCTCCCGCCCGCCAGCTGATTTTCGGATCTCTGCCGCGCATGTGGGAGACACACACGCATGTCCATGCCACCCTGCCCCTCCCAGGAGTCTCCACGCGGCCCGTTTTGCATGCCAGGTAAGTACATGGCTCGCGCAGAGGCTCTGGGAGAGGGAAAAATGGGCCTACTGGAAGTCCAAAAATGGCCCATTTCCAGCCTCCAGAGGGCCGGGGGAGGCAGTTTTCGCCCTCCTGGAGGCTCCCGGAAAGCCTCCAGAGCCTGTGGAGGGTGAAAAATGGCCCTAGTGGAAGTCTGGAAACAGGCCGTTTCCGGCCTCCGGAGGCTTCACGAAGGCCTGCTAGGCCCAAAACGGGGGAGGTGTGTGTCACGTGCGCATGTGTGGGTGGGTGGGGTCGCACGCACCTGCGCAGGGAGGCGGGGCAGCATGGGGGGGGATTGCATTATGGATGTGGGCGTGTGGGCACTTTTGGCACCCGAGGGAAAAAAGGTTTGCCATCCCTGTTTTAGGAGATGGAGGTCTTCCGTGTTGATGGAGATGTGGGTTTTTTTTCTTGTCGCACCAGCTTCGTTGTGATTCCCTCTCAAACATTTGCAATGAATAGTTTTATGCTTTGCAGTTTGTTAGAGGAAGCGTTGATCCTTCGTTGGGATGGACTTTGTCATAAATGGTTCTTACAAACTCTGCATAGACTGCTGGTTGATGTCCTCCACAAAGAAGTTGGACCACACGATTCTCAAAGCCCCAACCAGCTCGGTTGTTTTAGGAGACTGAGATCTTCTGTGTGTTACGGGCAAAGCTTTTTTCAGAGTGCCCCTACCTGCAAGTGTGCACTGGAAGCATTCAGGTGTGTGTGTGTGTCTCTCTCTCTCTCTGTGTGAGAGAAGTAGACAGACTCCAGGTCTGAATCCTAGGCAGCTATATCTAAAGCAGGGGTCTCCAACCTTGGCAACTTTAAGACTTGTGGATTTCAACTCCAATTCTGGGAGAGGCCCAACCTTAAGTTTGGAGACCTCTCATCTAAAGGTTATTTCTTTGAGTAAATCTTAACAATAGGGAGCCAACAGGATCAGTGATCAAAGAGGTGTATCTTGGTATCCTTTGCCATTGCCACACGAGCACTGATGATGTTACCTAGTTGGGTCATGAGACGTCTGCAGGAAAACCAACAAGCACAAGTGACCGACCACCAAGGAGCCCTCATGTCAACCCCCGAGCTACAGATATTTTCCTTCATTGGCCATTTCCCAAAGCACTTTGAAGAGGAGGCTAGTCAGATCCCAACCAGAGAGAATGGCAACGTGTAGTAGAGGAGAAACCATTTTTAGTTAATATTTTTTGGTACTTTTTAAATTGCGACAGATAATGTTTGCCTTTGGGTAAGCTACATGCTGAGAAACATCTGTTGTGTCAATACCACCTTACAAATGTGGAATCGAGGGTGTGATTATAGGGTGGGATAATCTCTGACTTTCAAAATGCCTTTTTCTAAAAAGAAAAAAAAGAACAGAATTAGGCAATCTTTTGTCAGCGTGATGTTGGGATGACTTGGCCAGAGTGACTAAAGCAGTGTTTCTCAACCTTGGCCGCTGGACGATGTGTGGACTTCAACTCCCAGCTGGCTGGGGAATTCTGGGAGTTAAAGTCCACACATCGTCCAGCGGCCAAGGTTGAGAAACACTGGACTAAAGTCTTCTGAATTAATGGATTTGTAGTTGAACCTATCAGGAAGGTCTCCAGTTGAGTCAAGGAGGGTTTTGAAATGTAGGGACGATTGGATTACGGGACTAAATTATATGGAATCCCAACCTGCTGAAAAAAAAAAATTCAGGACAGAAGCAGAAATAACAATAAAGGGACGAAGAGAAGGAAGGAAGTTGTATCTTCATAAGTGGGCCTTGTTAAGAATACAAAGCCTCACCTTTTTAACTCTTGTTCTGAAAAATACGTTATTATAATTATTTTTGTTTCTTAATCCTGATTTCAGTGGTCATTAAGACTTTCCTAATTTAGACTTGTGGAGGTAGAAGATACGTTGAGGGACTCACCCTTTGGAAGTGGCACCAGTCCAGGGCGAAGGAGTAGCTGGGTCAAACTGATAAGGAAGAAAATGTGGCCTCAAAGTCAGTCTCCCTTAGGACGAGTGGAGTAATTTGGCCTGCACTGAGTAGATACAATAGTTGTAAGAGCCAGAATTGGTTGCAAGTCTCATTTTTTTCAGCTCCGTTGTACCTTTGAACAGTTGCTAAAGAAATGGTTGTAACTTGAGGACTACCTATAAAGATTTGATTAATTCAGAACTCTTAACGGAATTACAGTGTTGGAAGGGACTTTGGAGGTCTTCTAGTCCAACCCCCTGCTCAGGCAGGAAACCCTATGCCATTTCAGACAAATGCTTGTCCAATCTCTTCTTAGAAGCCTCCAGTGATGAAGCATCCACAATTTCTGGTGGCAGGCTGTTCCACTGGTGAATTGTCCTCACTGTTAGGAAGTTTCTCCTTAATTCCAGGTTGCTTCTCTCCTTGATGAGTTTCCATCCATTGCTTCTTGTCCTGCCTTTTGCTGCTTTAGAGAATAGCTTGACTCTCTCTTCTTTCTGGCAGCCCCTCAAATACTGGACCACTGCTATCATGTGTCCCCCCCACCCCCAGTCCTTCTTTTCATTAAACTAGATATACCCAATTCAACTGGATCTTGGGCATTGCCAGACTTGAAGACTGGAAGAGGGGAAGGGTTAGGGTTGATGAGGTTGGACTTCCCCAATACAGGTAGTCCTCGATTTATGACCATAACGGAGCCCAAACATTTCTGTTGCTAAGCGAGACATTGGTAAAGTGAGTTTTGCCCCATTTCATGACCTTTCTTGCCACAGTTATTAACTGAATCACTCCAGTTGTTAAGTTAGTGTGAACAAGTCGCTTTCTTCCGAGCTGTTGTAACTTTGGTCGCTAAATGAATTTGGTTGTAAATGGAGGACTACCTGTATATACAGTGGCATTTGAATGGAGGACACATTCCCAAAGTGGGTGGGGGGGAAGATTCACCCCTTAAATCAGTGTCTCCCTTAACTCCAATGCCTCTTGACTTAAAATAAGATTCCCTTCCATCCATCTCCAACCAGCCTCCTCACTTGGCACGAACAATATTTAACGTTTTTTTACTTTGCTTTCTCTTAACTGCCCCCTCCTTCCCTTCCCTTATTTTTCTCCTGGCAGTAAGTAACCTTGGCAAAGAACCAAAGCTAAAGTCCTCAATGTAGGAATGCCATCTGCAGAAAAGACTAGGGCAGTCCTAGGGCAGCTGGCTGGGGAATTCTGGGAGTTGAAGTCCTCCAGGCTTAAAGTGGCCAAGGTTGGAGACCCCTGCACTAGGGGGGAAAAAAAAAAATGAAAAGCAAAGGGCTGAAGAAGCAGCGATGGAGGCGAATCTGGTCTTTTTCTCAGCAGAAGGGAAACTGAAATTACGATTATGATTTTATTGACGCAAGAGAAGCAAACTGGGGAATTGCAACTGAGTCCCTACACAAACTTCCCTTTTTGTCATTTTAAAAGGAGTTTTAGGGGAGCAACTGGAGCAGGGGTCAGCAACCTGCGGCTCTGGAGCCGCATGTGGCTCTTTCACCCCTCTGCTGCGGCTCCCCCTCTCACTCAAAATATGCGGCACAACTGGCAATGTGTGACACCCACCGGCACGCAGTTTATTTCAACCCCCGGTAGGCCAACCGTGGATAAATCCATGAAAAGAAAAGTTTCAGAAGAAAACAGAATGTTTAATTCAACTACATCTGCTAGTTTTGTGGCCACTGAAGAAATAGGCACGGGAAGGGTTTTGTGGCTCCCGGTGTTTTCTTTTCTGTGGGGAACAGGTCCAAATGGCTCTTTTGAGTGTTTAAGGTTGCAGACCCCTGAACTGGAGGATCTTAAGCCACCTGAAGCATTATTAAATATGTCGCTGCATTGATTGCGAAGAGACAGTTACGATTATTTACTTAACCGTCAGCCTTGTTCACAGTTTGACTTCCTAGCTGTTTCCGAGCATCTCAGGTTCCTTTGCTGAAATCTTGAAGACTCTTTTTAAAGTTTGTACGCCTGCGTGGGATTTATTTTGCCCCGTCACACAACTGGCACCAATTTTCTGCCCTTTTGCAATTGGTTCAATATTCTGTATTGTGCAGAATACGCCTTGTTTATTTGTTGTTCTTTTTCTTGTCTTTCAGGACAGAATAATCAATCTTGCCGTTGGCGTCGTAGTTTCCTTGTTGCTTCTAGTAAGTATCCCACTTAGCCCCGCAAACCTAATTCGGGAAGTTGAGGCTAGGTTTGAATCGGTACCAAAATGGTTCAGATCAGACTTGTCTTCTAGCAGCTTGTAAGGAGGTATTAATTACTATTATTCCCCCCATCCCACCCACAGGGTATACGGAAATATTCATTCCATCCATTCCGATACCTTTTATAAGGATGTGGACATTTTGGCATTTGTTCATTTATTTTGAAAACCTTCCATTTGTTTCTTGCAAACGCTGATCCTTCGATTTTCTTAGCTGCTGTGTATAAATATTTGATTTATGTATTGCAGCTAAATACCCAGATCAGAGCATTTTAATAGAATGAGTGGCTGGTGAGGACCAGTAAAAAAAAAACACCTGCTTGAAAAACAAAGAAATGCACCCTGGATGGGGAGCCTTTTGCCTCCACTCCATCAAGGTTGCCCAATTTGGCTGTGGCAATACGGAGTAGTTGCTAGAGAAAAGTTAACTTTCCGTGGTAAAAATAAAAATAGAATATGCTGCTGGCTTGTTGCCACCATGATGAGGAACATGGACATACAGGCAGTCCTCCACATACGACCACAATGGAGCCCAACATTTCTGTTGTTATGTGAGACATTTGTTAAGTGAGTTACGAATTTCCTTGCCACATTTGTTCAGCGAATCACTGCAATTGTTAAGTTAGTAACATGGTTGTTAATTGAATCTGGCTTCCCCCGTTGACTTTGCTCATCGGTAGGTCACTAAAGGGGAATCACGTGACACCGGGACACTACGATGGTCATAAATACGAGTCAATTGCCGAGTGAATTTTTGATCCCGTGACCCAGAGGAGGCTGCTACGGTCCTAAATGTGAAAAAGGGTCATAAGTCACTTTTTTCAGTGCCATCGTAACTTCGGTCACTAAACGAACTGTTGTAAGATGAGGACTCTAATGTGGATAATGTCCCTGTCCCGTCAGAATTACTCGCTAAGAAATTTTGAATCCAGGAGACGCAGAACGAGAACTTCAGGCCTGTGGAGTTTTCCAGCCCTCCTGTAAAAGATTTTTTTTTTTTTAAGTTTTCAATGCTTTGTTACCGGTCTCCACATTCAACTTTTAAAGTTTCGTTATTTGATGAATGATTTGGTTCTCCATTCTGATTTACTGTCATGTTTTTCTCACTTTCTCACGAGTTGGTTTTTTTTCCCCCCCTCACCAACCTAAACCTCCAAACGTGTGAGATTTTTCTCAAGGTGTCACTTGTTTCAAGCCCTCTCTAATTTTAGCTTTCTCTTGCGTTTTACAAAGCTCCAGAAGTAAGCATCGCTAAAATGCAGATAAATTAACATTTGCCCTCTGGGAAGGCGGTTTAAGGGCCTCGTGTAACAGCCGAACTTTTAGCGCTCTTTATTATAAGGGCCGAAAAGATGAGATTATACCTGCAGAGAGTCGGCCGCAGGATTAAGAGAATTGGGTTCCCTTTTTAAAATCGCGGATTTCCAAGCAAATGCAGTTAAAAGCCCCCTGTGGACTTCTCAAAGGAATATCCTCTGATTTGGAATTTCCTTTCCTCGGCTTCAACAGGTGGGAGCACCTGGCTGAGCTGAGCTTGGAAACCAAAGCAGGACCAGGCTTAATATTTGCACGGGGGACTTCCGGAAGCGTAGGCTAGACCAAAAAGTAACATCATAAAACCTCCATTGTCCTCTAGGAAAAACGAAGAATCGAGAATGATCACCATCATCATCCTCATTTAACGGCCCCATAATCCCTTGCGGGGTGGAGTCTGGGCAACTGAATGGAGCTAGCAGAGTGTTTACTGGCCGGATGCCTTTCCTGTTGCCAGTGCGGAGTTTTGTTCAGCAGATATAGTCTCAGTGTGCCCAGAGAGAGAGAAATATTTGCCTCTACCTAGGATTGAACTCATAGCCTCCTGATTGTGAGGCCGCTGCATCACTCTGCTAAGAGAGTAATGGGGATCTCTCCATGAAACCTTCAAGAGTCAAACGCAACAAACCGTGGTCTATATAGAACACCCCCTAAAATCCAGGGGCGAAGCTCCTGTGTTCGGTGAGAAGGTGCCAACCGGATAACGGTGCTTTTGGGTGTCCTGAAACTCCAAGGAACAGAAGGCGACCAGAAGGTCTCCGTAGAGTTTCGAGGTGGAGAGTTGATGGGTGCACTGATGGTCACTTCTCTGGCTGTTGTTTTAGTAAGGAACAAAGAGTTTACCACAGATAGTCCTTGGCTTATCACCATTCATTTAGTAACCGTTCAAAGTTAACAACGGTATTGAAAAATGTCCTTATAGTTGGTCCCCAAACTTAGAAATTGTTGCGGGAATCCCCGGGGTCAGTCACACTGTCAAAATATCACCACTCGCAACCTTCCCCGTGGGGTCAAGCAAAATAAGGGGGGAGGGAGAGAGAGTGGAGCTTGGGTCACTTAATGACCACACAATTCCCTTTAAGCATGGGAAAAAGGGTCCGAAAATTGGCTGACTTTCCCGTCGCCTTCCTTACTAGCAACAGGAATTTTTTGGTCCCCTTTGTGGCCGTACTGGAAGATCCTCCATAGGAAAAGCTACGTGGAAGGAGGGGAACCCTGCAAGCCATTCAGCCACGAAGGGCCGTCCACGGCTGGGCTCCCCTTGTCAGCGGTGGAAAAACAGGCGCTGAAAAACTGACCCTTTAGAAAATGTCTTTCAACCATGTCTTTTTGCATCTTTTCATTCCTCTTCATCCAAGTTTCAATTAGCTGGCCAAATGCTGAACAGACTGGCTAGGTTAGCTTGATCAAACTGTATTCTGACTAATTTAGTTTTACCTTAGATTGAAACCCTCAAAGATAATTACGTTCCACAAAAGTTTTGTTTTCTACGAGTATAACACTGAACTTTCTTTCTCTTTCTCTCTCTGTCCCTTCCTTTTTCTTTTTTTTTTGTTTTTCTCCTTCCTTCCTTCCTTCCCTTTTCTCTCTCTCTCTGTCTCTCTGCAGGTCACTTTAATCAGTGCTTTCGTCTTTCCTCACCTACCTCCAAAACCAGTGAATATCTTTTTTGCTTTCTGCATCTCCTTGAGTTGTGCTTCGGCTGGCATTCTTGTAAGTGTTCGTGTTTACTTTTGTGAAGATTAAGTAGATCTTACTCAGATGAGGGGAACAATGGTGTATGGCTGCCGTGGAGAGTCGTAAAAATATTGCAAGGCCCAAAGTAAACAAGGATTTAAGTCCACAAAGGATGTCTTAATTATTTGCACTACTTACCCTAAGCCAGGTTTTAGACTAACACTTACAATGGCAGCTGGGACTAGTCGTAGGATAAGAGCCCCAAACTTCCTTCCTTCACACAGGGTGAAATAATGAAATACAGGGTTATCTGCAACTGAGCTTTTAATTAGATTTGGATTGTCCCTTGGCCACTCTCTCTGAGGGATGTGGGCTGTTGAACCAGCCATGGCCACCGTCCCAAAGGGTGGGACCTCTGATCTACTTCATCACCTAAGGGAACGACACGCGTCAGAGCAGATGCCCGCAAGGATTGGGATGATGAAAAGGTGGCTTTTCGGGGGTCTTTGATATCGCACCATCTCCTTAGAATCAAAGCCTCCACTGGGTTCAGCTCACATCACCCCGTAGCTCACGTGCCCTGCAACTTCTCCACCTTCTTGGAGAACCTCAACCCTAGAAGTATCCCAGAGGTGGTCAAGGGTTCTTCTAAGACAGGGGTCTCCAACCTTGGCAACTTTAAGACGCGTGGACTTCAACTCCCAGAGTTCCTCAGCCAGGAACTCTGGGAGCTGAAGTCCACGAGTTTTAAAGTTGCCAAGGTTGGAGACCCCTGTTCTAAGATGATGGCATCCCGTCTCCTCTTTTAACATTTTGTCCCCCTCTTCTCTCCCCCTTCCAGATCTATTGGTATCGACAAGGAGACCTGGAGCCTAAATTTAGGAACCTCATCTACTACATTTTGTTCTCGATCATCATGCTTTGTATATGTGCCAACCTCTACTTCCATGAAGTGGGGAAATGACAAAGGTGGCAACGCGTCCAGGTGCTCCCAGGTAGCGTTTTTCAGGCCGTGCTTTCTGAGGAGAGGACCAGGAGGGCTTCCAAAATAACGCAAGACCTCAACCGGCACAAGAGGTCGGAAGGAAGACCCAGAGGATAGTTCAGAGGGGTGTATTTCAATGGTCCTTCCTTCCTTCCTTCCTGCCGGTGAGGTGAAGTGGTGCAATACGACAAGAGCATCTGCTTTAGGGAGTGGGGGTGGGGTGAGCCACAGAATCGCTATTAGCACACTTAATGAACATTCCAGTTGTATGACGTTTGTGTTTTTCAGAGTGGCGCACCCTTTTTCCCCCCTCCCCATTGTGTGTGGGGGGGAAAAAAACGGCCTTCTTTTTTTATTATTACACTGTACAAAAAAACCCGCAGCACTGCAAATGTCTATACTACATTATAAATAAAAAGGCATTTACTATGACAGAAGAGAAGAGAGTTTCGCTCGCGTTAAGCTGGTTAATTTCCGCTCCTTCCCTCCGCGACCGGCTTCTCGTGTTCACTACAAATTCATTGTTACGTGAATCGATTTTTGAACTGACAGCAGGTGGTCTCCTCGGGGATTGAAAACGGACGCCTAAATTTATCGCAGCTTGAAAGTCTCCATGCTACACTCGGGAGGGGGGGGTTCTAGCTGTAGTAGTTTAAGAATTACGTCTGATCATTCGGGCGCGACATCCGTTGCCAGCAACAGATTCTTCAGTTTCAAGGAAGATCTCGATCCGGCTTGTCGGCTGCTTGAATAGCCTGGAACCCCTAGAAAAATTAACCTTTCCTCCTCACGTAGCTTCTTGCTCCCTCGGTAGTTACAACGCTGTAACTATAGTCTTACCCAGAAGCAGGAGGACCGGTGCAAATTCTTAAAACGGTGTCACCTCAACTCCATATGCTCGTTTGCCGCTGGGTTCGCAGCCTGGAGCGTTGGATTTCCTCACTGTCCATCCCAGGAATGCAGACCCTTGGGAGGGGTCTCCGTTTGGGATCAGAAGAGAGCCAAAGGGGCCTCTGGGCCAGCCCTGCCAGGTGGAGCCTCCTTTGACCAACGCAGGAGTTACGGACCGGGAAGCTCCTCAGTGGCAGCTGACTAAGTTCTCCATGCCCTTTGAGTCTTCAGAACTGGGGCTGTCCAACGAGGAGCCAATGATGTGAGAATTCTCTCCGTGGTGTTGTAAGATGGGATCTAGGAAGAACCGAGATACAACAGGTTGCTACACAGGCGGTCTCCTCATGCTGGCTAACACGCAGGCGCGACCTATAACACGGTTGAAGGCTGCCTTCTTTAACCTTCACCTGCAAGAGGCAGGACGGGAACCATGGGGGGGTGGAAAATGCTGCTCAGAATACTGTGTTTCTCCAAAAAGACGACCCACCTTGGAAAGAAGCCCTATCACGTTTTCGAGCGCATGCGATCAAATTAAGCCCCACCCACAAAATCAGACCTACTTAAGGCCCCGCCCACCCTGGGGTGCACTGGCTGGGATGAGGCACACCAGTAAAAAATAAGCCAGGGTGGGGATGGAGTGATGGTGGTGGAGCTGCCCTACTTACCAGGCCTTGCACACCCCAACAACTGCCTCGCCTCCTTCTGTGGCTGCTTGCCGCCACTCGAACGCATCGCCCCGGCCTCCGTTTTGCCTTTAGATGCCTGCCGGAAGGTGAAACATAGGCCGGGGCAATGTGTGCGAGTGGCGGCAAGCGCCCGCAGAAGAAGTGGGCCAGCAGGAGGCTCCTGCCGGGCGGGGCTGTCGGTGCCACTGCTGCGAGGGGAGTCAATAGTTAGAACCCTCCAAAAGGAAGGCCTAGCCAGTTTTTTCGGGGGCCAAAAGAAAATAAGACCCGGCCTTCTTTTTGGAGAAACACGGTAGAAAAACTCTTGTTTGGACTTCTGAGCAAAGCTGAGCCTCCTTTGCCAGGAGCTCAGAACCTTCCGGATGCTCCTTGCTAGGCACCCATCACCTTCACCAAAGTGTTCAGTACAGGTAGTCCTCGACTTAACAACCGTTCAAAGTTACAACGGCCCTGGACAAGTGACCGTTTTTCACACTTGCGATGACGGTTGTGACATCCCCGTGGTCACGTGATTTGCATTCTTGACACCTGACTTGGGTTGGTGACGGACGCCGTCTCCCGGGGTCACGTGGATCCCCTTTGGCGACCTTCCTCCGAGCAAAGTCCACAGGGAAAGCCAGATTCGCTTAACAACCAGGTTACCCGCTTAACAACTGCAGTGATTCGCTTATCAAATGTGACGGCGAGAAAAGTCGTAAAATGGGGCCAAACTCCCTGAACAAATTTCTCACTTAGCAACAGGAATTCTGGGCTCCGTTGCGGTCCTAAGTCGAGAACTACCTGTAGTGAGTTCAGAAGGAACCGAGTCCTGGCTGCGATGCAGAGCAAGCGCTGAAGCTCCCCAAAGTGCTGCGTTAAAGCGCTGAGCAAGCAGAATGGTGGGCAAACTAGAAGGGGGAAGACGTGTGTTGTGAGATGTTCACCCCCTTGGGTTGTTTGTGAGGAACGCTAATGGCGGGATGCAGGATAAAAAGCAGCCCACGAAGCCAAGCTCAGGTTCAGGAGAGTCAAGTCACCTGCTAAGGTGGTCAGAGGCAGCACCGATTCTCCGTCTATGTCCTCGGACGCCTGGATGAAGCCTCGGGGAGAAGGCACGATGAGGACGGCTCTGTCCAGGGTGGACGGTCCCACCTGCTCTTCGGCCGTGGGAGAACCCAGGTCCTGCACAACAACCACAGACAACTGTCATTGAGCCGTTTCCGCAGAATTTTAAAAAGCCTTTTGGGAAAACCCACCACCCCGGACAGAAGCTGAGCGACATTTCTTGCTACAGACAAATTCCTGCGAATAGAGAAGTGTTGGAGGCCACGCATGAAAATCTTAAAACGGTGTGAGGGCTATTAATAACTTGGTAACACCTGACTCCCACAGCACTGCCTTACGCCTAAGGATACTTACCCACGTAGTAGGGCTGTCTTGCTATTCTCCTCCTCATCTTCCCTAATAACCTCCTCCTCTTGACCGCTTTATGATTTATCACTTATCGTTTGTATCTTAGGATTTAGGATTTCTAACTATGATTTATGATCTTTGACTTATTTCTTTGCTGCTTGTACGTACGCTGAGAGCTGCTGCACCGGAGACAAAATCCCTTGCGTGTCCACTCACGCTTGGCCAGAGAAAAGAATTCTACAGAGAACTCTTAACTTCTAGGGGTAGGAACACAGATAGGCCTTTTTTTAGTGCACAGGGGAGATCAACTCGTTAACGACTTAAGAGGAGAGTGCTTCGATTTTCTCACTTTCCTAATACTTAAATCCAGTTCACATTTCTGCCAGATTTGGAGAACTGTGGCTTAGGACCACATAAACCTCAGCTCGGAAGGTTTACAAGTGTTTTTGTTTTTTTTTTACCTCGGAAACGTAAGTGCCGGCCAAATCCGATGGACAATTATCTTCCCGCTTGAGATCTGAATTCAGAATGTCGACGCCTGCTCTTCCCAGGAGCTCCGGGCTGCTTCGGCTGCCAAATTTGGAGGAACCGACGGCGCTGAAAGCGGACGGGTCTCCCCCTGGGAGTTTGGAGGGGTGGAGGTCCTCCGGGAAAGAGTCCGTTTCCAGGGAGGTGGGCGTGCCCGCTACATCGACGGGCTGCATGTCCGGATCGGCGCTCAGTTCCGCCTGGCTGGCGGGCGGAGAAATGTCTTCGGCTGCCACGGTGCGGATGATGACGCTCGGCGCGTGGCACTGCACGGTGACGTTCTCCGTCGTGTTCAGCAGGTGCTCGGGCTGCAGGGGAAGGGTCACACAAGGGCGATTGGGTATTTGGCAAAGGTGGCAAAGAAAACACCGGAGGCGGCCGTTATCCTCTTTGGCAAGACAAATACAGGCTGCTCGGTGCCAGGTGGTTATTTTTTTTAAAAACAAGACAAAGCAGGAATATTTGTAGAAGAAAGTGGAAGCTGGAAATCAGCCACCTGATCTCTCAGCTTTGCTCATCAAAAGGAAGGCCATCCCCCGTTCACCAAGGGAGGAACGGAGAAGAAGAAATGCAGGCCAAGCGGCTTCCTTTCCTTGTGGGTTTGGAGTGCCCCCTTCATATGAAGCTGATCTTGGAGAATCCACACCTCTCCCGTAAATGCACATGTCATACATGTATGTCTTCTTAGCTGCCAGGAACGACATGCACCCACCCATAAAAAAGGCAAAGCACACACAGCAATACACGTGCACTGGCTGAATTGTGTCTGTTGTTCAGCCTCCAAGTCAGGTCTGACTCTGCGACCCCCAACCACCACAGCATGCCAGCTCCCCTCCCCTCCCCCCCAATCTTCCACTCTCTCCCAGAGTTTGCCCCAATTTGCGTCCATTGCTTCGATGATCGTACCTAACCATCTCCTCCTCTGCCGTCCCCTTCTCTTTTGGCCTTTCCCAACATCAAGCCAGATCACTGAACCACCGTGTTACTGACTCAACAATTGCAGTGATTCACTGTGGCAAGAATGGTCGTAAAATGGGGCAAAACTCAACAAATGTGTCGCTTAGCAATGGAAATATTAGGCCCAACTGTGGCCATAAGTCAAGGATCCCCTGTACTGATAAGGTCAGTCAACAGCTTACAGAACTTGCCAGCCAGAGCTCCGAAGCCCCCCGCTTCCCGTAGTTTTACTGTTCCGATACGTACGGACAAGGCGTGGACTATGATCTGGTCTGGGGAGGCCGGGGCCGCAGCAGCCGTCAGGGTGACCGTGGGGCTGGCGGTCAGGGTGAGAGGCAGGCCCTGGCTTGAGCTGGTCTGGAGTAGGTAGGTGCCTGGGGTTCCAGTTGGCTGCAGGTGAAAAGACTAGGAAGGGGAGAAGGAAAAGAGGAGGAGTCAGGTGTTTCACCATCTCAACGGAGCTCCTTCCAAGTGTGGCATCAAAGAGAAACCGAGAAGAAGTTATACAAACGTAACTGAAAGAAGGTATGGCGAAGAAGATTATTTCTACTGTCTACTATTTGGGGACATTGTAGTTGAGGATTCAGGGGAGGAGGAATTCTGAGAGATCTGATGTTAGACACGTGTTCTGCTTTGCACTAGAGTAGGGGTCTCCAACCTGGGCCACTTTAAGACTTGTGGACTTCAACTCCCAGAATTAGTTGAAGTCCACAAGTCTTAAAGTGGCCCAGGTTGGAGACCCCCGCCCCAGAGATTTAAATCTCTTGGTTAAAACCTTTTAATCGCAGAAAGGTATAATCAAGTCAACTCTGCAGTGCTTACCGGCAAAATCTCAAAAGTCTGTAACGTCCCACTATTTAGCGTTATGGTTTCGGAGTCGACAGAAGCCGCAGGGGAATCGGCAGAAGCTACACAAGAAGAAGAAAAAGAAAAACAAGATTCAAATCGGTAAATACGTTCTGAGCATATTTAATTGCAAGAGAATATAAAAGAAGAACATGCACCCAGCTGGTCAAAGCAGAAATAAGGAAAAGAACTTTATCTATTAAGAAGCGACCGTTGGCCAAAGTTTGGAAGAGTTTAAATGGGGTCTCTGGGAAGACCCCCCACCACAAATTCCTCCCAGATTTTGTTAGCTTCAGAAGATGACTTAAAGTTGCAGTCCACCTAAGAGACTGGCTAATGGAAACATCCAAGTTCTCTTGACTACCGCCTATGTTCTGCCCCAGCTACGGACCCCAAAGAACGCAGCACACACAAAGTCTGTACAAACCTTAGTTTACTAAATTAAATCCATCTTTTTCAAACAAAGACTATTAATTAACTTTCTTAACAGCCTACAAGAATCCAAAGAATAAATAATTGTAATCTTACTATGGTTGGCAGAAAGCCCAAAAGCAATTTGCAGAGAACTAAGATCAAGATGCGAAGGAGAGTGAACTAAGTTGTTCCCTGCAAATTGCTTCAGTCGGCGTTCCTCCTTAAATAGGCTAAGGGAGTGGCCAATTAGCCCCAAGCCTTACCCTCGAGGAGACCTCCTCCTGAGGAGCCACTCCTGCCTTTTGGCAGCTCTGCGCACCCATGCATCGAGAAGAGCCTCCTCCTCCTCTTCACTTATGGGAGCTTCTGGAGGTTCTGAAGGCCCTGACTGAATCCCCGCCTCTGGCACCACATCTTCTCCAGCCTCCTCATTGTCTGACTCGGGTGCCAGCTACACAGGCTGCTGGCGCAGCACCACACCAGCCTCCTCGCTGTTGGAATCAGCTACTAGCTGCACAGGCTGCTGACGGGCCACAACAGCCTATGGCTCTCTTATCAATTCTCTCTCTGTGTGTGTTATCTGTACAATGCCGTTCTCCACTCAATAAATCTTCAGGGTCTGCAGAAATCAATTCACCAAGGACAAAATAGAAGGTCAAAGCCCCTGTGAAGTCAAGCTCCACTCTGAATAACTTCCACGTCTGTGTTGGTGTAATCTTCTTGACAAGACAAAACATTAGGAATATGAGCAATGGTGCCCCATGGAATCGCATTTTAAAAAAGGAAGAAACATTTGGCCATCATCATTAAGTGCCACTGATTCAAATCTTGTTCTTCTCTCAGTCCGTAACATCACAAGGCTTTTGTTTCGTTCTGATGCCCACTTGGGAGGACTATCTGGGTTCTTAACCCAATCCTGGTTTATCATCAATCCCTGCTGACGTCCACCTGGCAGCTGCATTCAAAGGACAAAAGGAGGCACTACAGCTGGAACCGGACCTAAGAACGGCTCTGCAGAGAGGGAGAGCCAGGGGCTCAGGGCATCTGAAAAGCCACAATATAAAATATGCAAGACTGTAAAAGCTTGCACAGACACAATTGGAGACACAGTGCTGGCTGATTCAATGCGGTATTTTGAAAGAAAGAATGTAAGTTTGGACCACATCGGCTGGAGAGAAAACGCAGGAAGGGTAATGGAAGTGGGGAATGTCTGTATTCCCAGCATTATATAAATGGGGAAATAGGAGAATTTGGTAGATTTATCTACGGGTAGCCCAAAACTTACGACAACGTAAGCGGTGGCGCAGTGGTTAGAACGCAGTACTGCAGGCTACTTCTGCTGACTGCCGACTGCCTGCAATTTAGCAGTTCGAATCTCACCAGGCTCAAGGTTGACTCAGCCTTCCAAGGTCAGTAAAATGAGGACCCAGATTGTTGGGGGCCAGAGGCTGACTCTGTAAACCGCTCAGAGAGGGCTGTAAACCAATGTGAAGCGGTATATAAGTCCAAATGCAATTGCTAGTGCTATTGCTACAACTGAGCCCAAACTTTCCGTCGCTATGCGAGGCAGTTAAGTGATTTTTGCTCCATTTTACGGCCTTTTGCCACACTGGTTAAGGGAATCCCTGCAGTTGTTCATTTAGTAACATGGTTGTTAAGTGAAAAGAGCCTTGGTACTACAGTGGTTTAAAGCACCCTGTTATTAACACAGCTGCCTGCAATTTACTGCTGGTTCGAATCTCTCCAAGGCTCAAGGTTGACTCAGCCTTCCATCCTTTCTAAGGTAGGTGAAATGAGGACCCAGTTTGTGGGGGCAATAAGCTGACTTTGTATAAATATACAAAAGTATGAAGGCTATTGCTTAAAGCATTGTAAGCCGCCCTGAGTCTCTGGAGAAGGGCGGCATATAAATCAAATTAAAAAAAAAACACAAACAAACAAACAAAAATTCGGCTTCCCCGTTGACTTTGCCTGTCAGAAGATGGGACACTGGAACTGTCATAAATATGAGTCAGTTGCCAAGCATCTGGATTTGGCTCAGGTGACCTCGGGGAGGCTGCAACAGTTTTGAGGGTGGAAAACGGTCCTAAGTCACATTTTTTCAGTGCTGTTGTAACTCTGAACGGTCACTGAATAAACTCTTGTAAGTGAAGGACTAGCTGTATCGCCTCTATTTCCTCCGTTTTCTTCCACCGGGAAACCCGTAAAGTAGATTGGCCTGAAAAAAAATTGACCCTTGTCCGAAGGGAGCCCCCATGGCGAAAGACCAGCCCCTCCCCCCACCTCACCTGAACTTCTGGCTGGCTCTCGTGAATTTGCAATTAAATAAAATTAATGATGCTCGTCCAACTTTTCATATCCGTGGGACTGCCACCGCGGTCAGTGCCATGCAAGACAAACCAGCAATATCTATACCCTGTAAACGTTGCCGGTTGCCCCCTCCTGAACAGGAGCCCCCAATTAAAGAAGCAGCAACACAGATCTAGTAAAAGCTGTTTAGGAAAAAAAAAAAGAGAGCTTTGGTGGGTGACTCACAGACGTGGGTGATCTGGAGAGGGATCTGTAAGGCTGCCACGGAAGCAGGGGAGCAGACGGAACTTTCCTCCAGACGGGCCACGCGGATCTGGACGTGCTGAACCCCGGAACCAGGATGGGAATTTGGCAGCCCAGGTAAAGATTTCGCGTCTGGAAGTTGGTGTGCAGGGGCGTTTTTTTGGCTTTCGTGCAGTTGCCTCAGACCTTTTATCAGCACTGGAAGAAAAATGGCATTCAAGGTTGCTGGACAACGAAACCAAAGTCAAAATTTGTAATAAAAAAAAAAAATAACTAAATCACTTATTTCAGCATTTCCAATCCTTTGGGATGAGCGGATTTCATCTCCCAGAATCCACCCAGCTTGCATTGGTTGCCAAGGTTGGGAAACACTCATTTTTTTTTATAAAAGTTTTTTTTTATTTTTTAACAAACATACACAAACAAACAAACAATGCATTTTTTCTGAACAGGGTATTGGCCGAGTCACAAATGTGTACAGCTTCTAGTTATCTCCAATACAATTTATATACTGTATTTTTCAGAGTATAAGACGCACCTTAGCTTTTGGGGAGAAAAATAAGGAAAAAGCTGATTGGGGGTTGGATCAGAATACCCCCAATCAGCTGTTCCCAGAGGAAAATTTTAGCAACAGGTTCCTTGGTTGGGAGCTCTGTGCCTTGCTTTTTTTTCTGCCTCTGAAACTTCTGAAACTCTGTTTCAGGAAAAAAAAAATTTCCTGCCTCTGAAAGCCTCCGAAAAAGCTTCAGAAAAAAAGCCTCTGAAGCTCTGTTTGGAGGCTTCTTTTCCGAAGTTTTGTTTCTGATGCTTTTTTCAGCCTCTGAAACCTCCGTTGGGTGGGGCTACATTCGGAGTATAAGACACACCCAGATTTTCACCCTCTTTTTTTGGGGGGAAAAGGTGCGTCTTATACTCCGAAAAATACGGTATTTCACTTTTTGCCATAATATTCTTTCCAGGAAACACTTGTTATTTTATTCAATTACCTTCCAAGTTACCAGAGAGAAAAGGAGTCTTCCTCTCCAGGCTGGGATCGGTGTTTCCAATGGCAACTTTTCCAAATTTTGCAAGTCTCGATTCAAAGTTTCAGAGAGTGGTTTTCAGTTTGAAATGAGCCATTTTTGTCCTTTTTTTTGGAAAGGTTGGGTTTCTGATCCCTCAACCAAGTGGGACACGACTCAGCGTGGATTTTGATGGGAGAATTTTAAAATGGGGACAGATGCCGGAGAGAAACTGGCCGAGTCAGAGGGAGGCGTCAAGCGGGGAAATAGTCTTGAATTCTTACGTAGGCACAAGAGGGCGAAGTCTAACCCCATTGGGAAGCCACTGAGCCTGATCTAGTCAGGCCCTGGTGCAGGGAAGATTCCTGTAAAAGAGGCACGGACAATAAAGGACTAACGGAACTCTTCCCCTGTGGATCCTGGCTGTTCGGTCCGAGAGCAAGCCAAGAATAGAGTTAGGTGACTTTACCGGGAAAGGAGATCTCTTTGTGGTTTGCGATCTGCCTCTTGATGGTCCACCATTTGCTCCGAAGCCACTGGGGTGAGCGGACGCTGCTCCAGCCTTCCGCCAGCAAATCCCAGTTGATGCCGTTTTCATCCGCGACCTCTAGCTCTGCTATTCTGACAGGATCACACGGAGAAAGAAAGGGTTCCTTTTACAAACAGTAGCCTTCAGGGACAGGCTTTCTTCAATTCAAGGCCAGACAAGGCATTCCAATTACTGTATTTTTCAGACTATAAAATGCACCGGAGTATAAGACGCACTTTAGCTTTTGGGGAGGAAAATAAGAAAAAAGCTGACTGGCGGGTGGATCGGCCTCCCGGAATATCCCCAATCAGCTGTTCCCAGAGGTGAATTTTAGCAACAGGTTCCTTGGTTGGGAGCTCTGTGCCTTGCTTTTTTCCCAGCCTCTCAAACCTCCGTTTCAGGGGCTACATTCGGACTATAAGACGCACCCAGATTTTCACCCTCTTTTTTTGGGGAAAAAGGTGCATCTTATACTCCCAAAAAATATGGTAATTGATCTCTCTCAAGCCAATTTGGATCCCAGGTAACAATCTGGATGCATCTATGCAGCTTCCTTGGAATGAAGGCAGACCGGGTTTCTCCTTGGCGGCTTCTAGGAATTGGTTCACTGATCCCAATCTCCCCTATCTTTTTTCCCCTAGTGGTCTCCTGTCCTTTCCTTGGCCTTTTTAAAGATCGGCCAAAGTTGGAGATGTGCTGCCACCTATAACTAGTCCTCAACTTAACAACAGTTCATTTAGTGACCGTTCAGTTATGGCGGCCCTGAAAAAAAGTGACTTATCACCGTTTTTTCACACGACTGTTGCAACATGCCCCATGGTCACGTGATCAAAATTTGGTTGCTTGGCAAGCCAGGTCACGTGATCCCCTTTTGCGACCTTCTGACAAGTCAATGGGGAAAGCCAGATTCACTTAACAATGGTGATACTAACTTAAAAACTTGCAGTGGTTCTCTTAACAACTATGGCGGAAAAGATCGTAAAATGGGGCCAGACGCACTTAACAAATGTCTCACTTAGCAACAGGAGTTTTGGGCTCAGTTGTGGTTGTAATTTGAGGACTACCTGTACCGTGAAACCTGAAGATAAGGAATATCTGGGAGCCTCGAGCAGAGGAGACGTTGCTGGGAGAAGTTTCCCTCACACTTTGGTGCTTTCAAAGGAAGCCTTTGGGGTGCTGGTCTCCCAGAAACCGCGCCTTCGCGCTCTCCCTGCGACCCAAGGCCGGCCCTTCCCAAGCCAAGCGGTGCAAACCTGAGAATGAGGTTGATTTCGTCTTCCTTGGTCCACTCGGTGCCTCCGCTCTGCTTCCAGTTGAGGTAGTTGAGCCATTTGGAGCGGCACTGCTTCTCCGACCGGGTTCCCACGCGCTCGGCCACCGCGGCCCAGGAGACCCCTTGCGTGACGATGTCCCCGGGCTCGGTGCTCGTTAATTCGTGGACCACTTCCGCCAGCCTCTTCTCTTCTTTCTCCGTCCATTTCCCTGAATTGGAAACAATCCAAAAACCAATAGTAGCAATCGCACTTAAGACTTATATGCCACTTTACAGGCCTCTCTAAGCAGGCTCTCTCTACCGAGTCAGCCTTTGGCCCCCAACAATCTGGGTCCTCATTTTAGCGACCAGGAAAGGCTGAGCCAACCTTGAGCTGGTCAGGATCGAACTGCTGGCAGCGAGCAGAGTCCGCCTGCAATGCTGCTTTCCAACCACTGAAGCACCATGGAGAGAGAGAGAGGTAGACAGATATGCTAGAGATAGAAATAGATAGCACTAGCACTTAGACTTATAGACCACTTCATGGTGCTTTTTACAGCCCTCTCTAAGCAGTTTACAGAGTCAGCCTCCTGCCCCCAACAATCTGGGTCCTCATTTTACCCACCTCGGAAGGATGGAAGGCTGAGTCAACCTTGAGCCTGGTGAGAAAAACAATAATGCAGGGCATGGAGAAGAAGAAAACACCCCCCACCCCAGAGTTAAGCCCCAAATCCTCATTTTTCTTTCTCCTTATTTTATGTTATGCTTATTATGGGGAGGTGAGGGGATGGGAGAGGAGAGAGGTTCCTATATCCCCCCCCCCCCGGATAAGGCATTCTCAGGCACTCTGTTCAGGGAGGGAGGTGGGTTGTAACAGCAACGAGGCTCCCATCAAGCATGAAACAGAATAAAAGAACCATGGACGGCTCCTTGCAAGCCACCCATGTTTTTGGGAGAGGAAACCGAGGGTAAGACAAGGAAGTCGTTGCCAACAGGCAATTCAGAAGATCTGGAAGGCTGGCTCTTTTGCTAGAACTCTGCGCCCTTAATATCCTACAAGCAGCCGGTAACCTAAAGTGGCGTGTTTATGAAGAGCGTTCCAAAGAGTTTCGTCTCGATGAAACTCCTCCTCTCTTCAACCGGTTAAAAGCAGCCATGTATTTTGACTCACTCATGATTTCTTCGCAAGGGTCCCCTGGCTTTCTGCAGGTGAGCATCCGGGCCAAATCTGCCCCATTGACGGGGCCATCGGAAGGGGTCCTGTGCTGTGCACTGCATGCAGAGACGACTGGAAATGTGGGGGGTTGGGAGCAGCTGCACTGCCCTTGGCAAAGGAAGCAGACGCCTCAACGCCTTGAAGAGAGGTGCTTTCCTCGTGCGTTGCAAAACACCTCTTTCAAAAGCTTTGCCAGGGACTCAATCGGAAAGGCCTGGCGTCCCAAGATTTACTCTCCTGAAGCCGACGTATACGCCTTGCCTGCCAAGCCAGTGTAACTGGAGTTTCCTTGGCAGGTGCTTTATTCGCCGTACCTGTGTTGCAAGTGTCCTTCATCAGCCGGCATCGGTCTTTGACGGAGGAAGCGCTCCGTCCAAGAGCCGCTCCTATCGTGGCCCAGTCATTGCCGTGCTTGATTCTTAATCTAAAGGGGGGGAAAAAGCTGTTCATTTTTGCTCACTGGGGCTGGGAAGATCAGCTACTGCACGGTGGGCTAATGTGCACAGATGGGAATCAAAGCCAAGATCATCATTCCAAAACGATGTCTCCTATGAACGTAGCACAGTGCAGTGCAGTTCAGTACGGTACAGAGTTTGATGTCTCCACATTGAAATTTGACTTAGGAGGGGCTTCCCCCCCCACCGTCCTTTTTGGGCGGTTCTGCCAGTATTCCTCCCAGGGGGCTGCAGGGGTGAGGGAAGCCCACGGAGGCAACGTTGGGAGGGAGATGACATGGGATGCCAGGGAAGAAACAACGCTGAGGCTTCGACTGAGCCACAGTAATCAATCAGCTTCCCCCCGGGGCATCTTTGCAACTTTTCCCCTTTTGAGAAATTGTTGGTATTGCTTTTTTCAGATCTATGTAAGAGCTGGTGGCTGTATTCTTGACATGCATTAATTCAGCTTAAATAAATTTATTTTTATTTATTTATTATTAAATTTGTATACCGCCCTACTCCCGAGGGACTCAGGGTGGTGAACAGCCAAGATAAAATATAGACAATACAAACATTAAAAAACCCATTAAAATTATTAAATAAATAACAGTAACAGAGTTGGAAGGGACCTTGGAGGTCATCTAGTCCAACCCCCCTGCTCACTCAAGAGACCTATACTAGGGATTCGAACCGCCAAACTGCCCACCTTTCTGATCGACAGGCTCAGCGTCTTAGGCACTGAGCCACCTAGCCGGGCTTTTGGGGCATGTCTACAGCCAAGTGAGGTCTCTGAACATCCTAGTCTCTCTGCAGCATTCTGGCCACTAAGGCTGGCTATGACATCGGTCATAGGGCGTGAACTTCTACTTGATCAGGGGTTGGACTAGAAGACCTCCATGGTTCCTTCCAACCGTTATTCTACACGACACAGAGCACAGAATGAACGAAGCCTTTCCAACCGAGTGGTTTGCCCCAGACAAAGCTGAAAGGCCTCCCCAGGCAAAGGGGGGGGGGGGGGGGGGGGGGGGGGACATTTCATTCACACAATCCATTTTGAGGATGTTCCTTTTCTCTCTCGGGTGTCAATTCACGAGTCCTGACTTGTCCATCTAAGAGGAAACCAAGATTCTAGACTGGGATATGAACGGTTGGCAAAATCTGATTTAAATGAAACTTACTCTTTGAGTTTTTCAATCTCTTCGGGAGTGTACCTGTTCAAACATGGAAACAGCAGATTTAATGAAGCTGTAAATATACGCTCGTTATACAAATTCCTCTTGTGGAGACCTTTGGGGCAAAAGGGAAGCCACGAGGTCTCCCATCCTTCGCTAGCTTCCATACAACTGGCTACTTTCCCATTGTCGGCAACCATGATTTTAATTAGGATCAGCAGGAAAGGAAGCTGGGTCATTTTCTCCTGGTCACTATAGCATGAAACTAGGAATCCTCACCGCCTTGTGGTCATCAAGGGGCTTTTTTCCAAGAGGCAACTGGACTTTCTGGTTTCTCTTTGAAGACGTTTCGCTTCTCATCCAAGAAGCTTCTTCAGCTCTGACTGGATGGGGGGGAAGGGAAGGATTTATACCCCTTGCAGACAGAACTGGTCACCTGCGTCCTTTTTAGTGAGTCATTAAGGCCACCTGGAGGCTTATCGGTGTCCTCAGGGTCACCTGAGTGGTGCAAATTTGCACAGAAAAGTGAAAAGTCTTTGAAGAAAAAAACAAGGAAGTCCAGTTGCCTCTTGAAAAACGCACCTTTGGGACAACCGTCACCTGGATGGCTGAGAATCTCCATCGACATTCAAGCCATAGTTGTCAGAATTTCAGAATATTACAAGTTGGGAGGTTTTCTTTTGGAAGAACACAATCTTACTTAAAGAACGCTTATTTATTATTTATTTGTAAAATTTATCAGTTGCCCATCTCACCCCCAAGGATAACTCTGAGCGGCTTACAATATTAAAAGATAAAACTATTCAAAACCTAATCGTACAAACACAATATTATATATTAAAGAAACCCCTTCCTAGCTAAAAAGATGGGGAGGGAGAGAGGGAGGGAGTAGGATGAGGAAGGGGAGATCCGCTGTTAATCCATCAATGGCCCCCCGTGTGATTCCCCTCCGTTAGAGCCCCAAGCCAAGGGGCAAAGTCAGGTCTTTTAAGCTCTCATGGGAGGTGAGGAGGAGGGTTGGGGCTGACCTCACATTAAGTACTATTCATCCCTGTGGAGACACCAGAGTGGTGCAGTGGCCTAGAAGTGGAGCTCTCGCCTCACAATCCGGAGGGCTGTGAGTTCGATCCTAGGTAGAGGCAGATATTTCTCTCTCTGGTTCACGTTGAGAATATATCTACTGAACAAAACTCCGCATTGGTGACAGGAAAGGCATCTGGCCATTAAAACGCTCTGCTAGCTCCATCATTCAGTTGGCCAGATTGCACCTCACAAGGGATTATGGGGTCATTAAAAGATGATGATGATGATCCCTGTGGAGACGCCACCAATGAGCTTCTCTCCTCCACTTCGTTTGGACTGGTGCTCAGGATATTTGCTAGGAATGGGAGGAAGTTAAATTTGGATTAAACTCCCAGATCTTCCGGTACACAAGAAAAGATCTCTAATTCCCAAATGTTTTGCCTCATCTCTAATACGATGATTTCCTACGGAGGGTGAAGTTCTCCGTTGGAGAGTCACTCTGCAGGTAGTCCTCAACCTATGACCACATTTGAGCCCCAACATTCTGTTGCTAAACGAGACAGTCGTTAAGTGGGTTTTGACCCATTTTACATCCTTTCTTGGCCCAGTTGTTAACTGAATCTCTGGAGTTGTTTTTATAGTAACACAGCTGTCGTGTAGATCTGTTTTCCCCACTGACTGCTTTTTACAGTGCCATTGTAACTTTGAATGGTCACTAAATGAACCGTTGTTAAGTCAGTTCCTTCATGATGACTTTCTAACATTTTAAGCCTGTACTCCAGGGTGAAATGCTCCCGGTTCGGACTGGATCGCCCATCCGGTAGCGATGGTAGTGGGTGATTCAGAGAACCGGTAGCAAAAATCCCTGCGCTGCCCCCTAACAAAAAAGCCTCTGATGCTCGCGTGGCTCAGGTGGGATCGTCAGAGGCTTTTAAAAGCATTTTTTCTACAACCTCTTCGGCCGAGGAGGTTGTAGGAAAAAAAAAAGCCTTTAAAAGCCTCTGACGATTCCAGCTGAGTTGCCTGATCGTCAGAGGCTTTTAAAAGCAATTTTTTTTACCTCTTCGGCTGAAGAGATTGTAGAAAAAATGTTTTTAAAAGAAAAAAAAGCCTCTGCCAATCAGGCAACTCAGCTGGGATCGTCAGAGGCTTTTAAAAGCATTTTTTTTACAACCTTTTCGGCTGAAGAGGTTGTAGAAAAAATGGTTTTAAAAACAAACAAACAAAAAATGTTGGCCACGCCCACCCAGTCACATTAACCCCACCACCACCAAGCCATGCCCACAGAACCGGTAGTAACAAATTTTACATTTCACCACTGCTGCCCTCCACTCTTCCCCCTAGACCCCGGAGCTGTTCCCAGCAAGCAATCCTCCCCTCCGGGTCAAACCTTAGGAAGGTTCATACTTGCCAACGTGGTTTCGGTCATCGTACATGCGAAGGACGCGCCTATAAACAGCAAAGAGAGGCCGGTTCAAACCCCAGGCGATGGTCCTGTAGAAATCTTTCCTTTCGTCTTTTGACATCTCAAAAATGATCTCGGTGGCATCTTTGATTCCACGGGCCTGGTCGCATGAAGAGGACAATTTTAGTTTCCCTCCCTTGGCAGAAAGTTAAAACTGATTTTTTTTCCTTTCTTTTCCTGGACAGCCTCCCCAAATTTAAGTAGGACAATTCAAACTCTAATCAATCTGAGCCACTTCCTGTTTCGTGCTGACAAGTGGGAGAGCGGAAGAAATAAGCCAGGATTTGGTTTTGCAGGTTTAAGACGGCGGCTGAACAACCCAGGTCTTAAACTATTGCTTGGTTATACAATGATTGCAATAACTACAGGTTTAATATAAGGTTAAACTGAGATGGCAGCGATGTTTTTTTTCCCCTTTTGAAAAATAACTAGCAACCAGGAAAAGGTGCAAAATTCATTTCCCTTGAAATCAACATGGAAGAAATGAGCTGTTTTGATTTTAAAATCAAAACAAGGACATTGGAATCTGTAATCTTTTTTTTTTTATAACTACAAAATGAAATCTATTATAAACAAATCCAGCTAAAAAGTTCTTTATAATAAGGTCTCTCTCTCTCTATGGGAGACAGGCTGATTAAAGAATTGGGATGAATTGGGCCTTTTTGTGCACTTTTCAGAAAAGGCTGAATCCGTGTCAGTCAGGGTCAAGCTGAGGTTCAGGATGTCCCGATTTAAGATTCCCTGGCTTCATGCCAACTATTGAGTCTTTGATTTAAGGCTATGAGAAAGTCAGGCAGTCCCACTTTAAACAAAAGCACCATTCATTATTCGATTAAATGGGTCAGTAAACAGTCTGTATGCTGCTTAACCAGATCTATTGCTTTATAAGCGCCTGCAAACTCAGGTGAAGAGCATGGTCTCTTCAGGTATGTAGAGAAAGGGACCTCTCACGTACGGAGCGAAAGGGACTCGGAAGGGAGTTTTTGCTGGAAATTGGGGGCTATAAGAGAGATGGAGAAACTCTACGGAATCCCACTGAGGAAAACTCTGAAGCCCATCATACAGAAGGGACCAACGTCAGAAACTAAGACACGTATTGAGAGCAACACAAACCTTCAAATAACGCTCAATGTTACTCATCAAAATCTGAATTTCTTCCTTCGACCACATGCCCTGTTTCCACTTATGACCTTAAAAATGGAGAAGAAGCTGTCACACACAGACGCCCTACGAGCAGTTCAACTTACGGGGAACGATTAGCACAGAGAAGCGGAGGAGGTTTATTTAGATCCACTTCTAATCCAGCAGATAAATTTTAGTAATCGTTCGTAGCCACTACAGCATTATTTTTTTTAAGAGAATGGCAATTATTTACTTAAAACATAAGTAAATAAGATATGATCATTAAATCACAATATAGTTTTTTCAATGTTTTTCCGAGTCATGCACCCAAACACACAACAAATTTAATAGCATATGTACAAAAATGTTGGTGTTTAGCACTGATAATAAATGCCTCAAATTGGAAATGAAGTTTCTATTATTTGTAGACAAAAAATAAAACAAAATAAAATAAAAATGTAAAGGCCAGGGCAAATGGCAAATTGTTACAAGTTATAACATTTTAGCTGTACGCTAAAAAAATAATAGATATGAATATTCATTAGCTCCCATTGCAAAAAAAGCTAGCATATTGTCCTCACATTATTTTGATAAAACAGATGGATTCCTCTCAAAACAACGTCATCCTTTTCTGTCATGCACCAAATGCCCACAGGCCTCCCTCGACCCATCCAGAGATGGCCTCCACAAATAGAAAATGTGAACTTGCCTTTGTTTGTTAGACAATCCTTGTCTTCTTTGGTTGTAAACCAGGCCTGACTGACGGCAGAGACTTCTTCGTTGGCTAGAGACGAGATTTCGTCCAGTTGCTCATTCTGAAGGATCTGGGAGAGGTCAACCGGAGAGGAAACCCTTGAAAGCAGGGCTCCTTCCACTTCAACAACCTCAAGGGGTGTGGACTTCAACTCTCAGAATAATAAACCCATTACTTCGATGGCCACCTTATATGTTTTATATTCTCAAGTCCCGCCACAGCCATGGGCCAAGATGGCATGGGACGCCTCCAGGAGGGTTTCATCTACCTGAATCTGAGTCACCGTTCCTTCGTTAACCTCATGGTCAGCTACTTCTGTGGTGGCAGTCATGGTCACCTCAAAGCTCTGGTCGCTTTCTGAAACTGGAAAGCACATCAAGGGTTAAGCTTGTGTAGTGCGATTGTTGTGAATATTCTTCTCACATGTGCACAGCAGCGACCTTCCTCGGTGAGCGTGTTTCCGAGAGTCTCTTTGCTATTCCTGTCTTGCCACCTGTTGTCTTTAGGGCCAGTTTGGTCTAGTGGTGAAGGCACCTGGCTAGAAACCAGGAGACGGGGAGTTCTAGTCCCGCTTTAGCCATGAAAGCCAGCTGGGTGATCTTGGGCCAGTCCCACTCCCTCAGCCCAACCTACCTCACAGGGTTGTTGTTGTTTTGGGGAACCTGACAAGGTTGCTCCTAGGCCTCTAGGAGGAGGAATACGGGTGTTGGATATGTTTGCTGCCTTGAGTTGCTTGTAAAAATAATAAAAGTGATATAGGAATGAATGGATGGATGGATGAGTGGGTGGATGGATGAGTGGATGAATAAATGAATGAATGAATGAGTGGATGGATGGATGATTGACTGAATGAATGAGTGGATGGATGGATGGATGAATGAATGAGTGGATGGATGGATGGATGATGGATGGATGGATGAGTGGATGAATAAATGAATGAATGATGGATGGATGAATGAATGAATGAATGATGGATGGATGGATGGATGGATGGATGAATAAATGAATCAGTGGATGGATAGATGAGTGGATGAGCGGATGGATGAATGAATGGTGGATGGATGGTTGGATGAATAAATGAATGTTTTCAGACTGGGGTAAGGAATAGTGGATCACTTCACCAGCCAAAGGAAACCTGACTTTCCCTCCATTTCCACAAGCCCTCCTCCTGGTCCCCCCGTGTGGTCTCCCTTTAGCAGCCCCCTCCCTCCCTTAAGCTGCACCTGCAGAGCCTTCAGAGGGAGCCCTTACTTGGAAGCGCCACGACCGAGATGCAGGGAGGGTTGCCTTCGATGCTCTCATCATCTTCTGAGGATAAGCAAAGCCTTTTGTGGGGAGGTTCGGTGCTGTCTTCCGAGTCTACTTCGTCTGCCTCTAAACGCCCGCGGACAGAAAGGAGAAGGACAGCCATGAGACTCGGAAGGGAATCGTGCCTGACATGCTCTCGTGCTGAACTGCCTACTGCAGATCATTTAAGGAGGCCGCCTGACATTCCACTGGAAATCCTAGGGAGAAATGGAGCCATTTGTTTAAGTTCCTGAAAAATATTCACATTTTAGCTCTTGGTCCAAGGTGCAGTATCCCTTTCTTTCAGAGCGACTGAGTGGAGCTGAGCGTTTACTGGCCGGATGCCCTTCCTGATGCCTAACCGGAGTTCACAGCAGATATTTTCTCTTTGTGCCCAGAGAGACAACTATCTGCCGCTACTTAGGATCGAACTCTCAATCTTCTGAGTGGGAGGAGAGCGTCTTCACTTTTAGGCCACCACACTGTACATGCCCTTACCCCTTTTTTCAATCCCCAGAGACTAGCAGCTAATGTTTAGTGGTGTGATTCTTCACTTATAGGAAAAAATAATTAAAAATCCATTTAAGGGAGAAAAAGTTCAAAAAGTCTGACCTGTTCTCTGGTGCCATACCATGCCTTCTAAAGAACAAATGGCCTAATTTCCCCCCCCCCTTTTTTTAAAGTGCAACCTCCTGTTCTAATGCTTTGCCCACAATATCATTAAAATGAATTTTCTTTCATCCAACTTTCATACACAGTCTAATGGTTTAAAAGTCATTCGCTGCAATAACCAAACCATTATAAGGAACCACTTGTTGTTTTAATGTATTGGTTTGCACAATTCCAATAGAAGTCATCAAACCTATTGTGCAATTGTTGTGCAATTAATTACAATTGTGTGTAATTGATTTGGTCTTGTCCTCCCACATCCAATTCCAGCCTCAAGCACTTCAATTTCAGCCTCCTCACTTGAATGTAAGGAGCAAAGTGGTGCAAAAGTCCTTCTGGAGACCAAAAAAAAAAAAATGTTTTTAGGGGGAAATGGCATGACTAGGTCATGCACCATCCTCATGCTTCAGCGATGGCTGAATGGGCGCGATGGCTCAGAGGTTAAAGGTGCTGAGCTTGTCAGATGGAGAGCTGGCAGCCAAGGTTCGAGATGGAGCAAGTTCCTGTTCCTTGCTCCAGCTCTGAGCAAATGCAAGTAGATTAATAGGTACCACTTTGGTGGGAAGGTAACAGTGTTTTGTGCACCTTTGGCGTATAGCCATGCTGGCCACGTGACCACAGAAATAGTCTTCAGACAAGGCTGGCTCTTTCGGCCAAGAAGCGGATATGGGCACCATGTCCCAGAACTGGACACGACTGGAGAGGGAAAGCTTTACCTTCTTTTTAACCATGCTTTAGCAGTGTGATCATGGTCTATTTTGAGGGGTGGGATTCAGGAAGTGAAATGGGTGTCTTAAGGAAATGCAAGTTTTAACTCATCCATTGCAGACCCTTGATATGTATATATTTTTTAAAGGACATTCTTGAAATTCCTCCAGGAAACTAAAATTCCCAGCGACACTGAAAACTGTCTCTCCCAAATTTTATTACCAAACGAAGCCACCCGCCCTACCGGGCTGTGCAGTTAAGCCCAATATCTTGGTCTGAGGAGTGATTGTAATTTGAAATAATATGGAGAAAGCATACAGTCCAATAACAGGTGTTCTATACCATCCTGGGGGCAGTGAAGAATAAGGTTGCCTTGAGGATCTTGTGTCAGAGTCACGGAATTCACGGTTTCCACTGTCACTGTGTCAGATTCTTCTTCAACTGTGGTCATAATCAAATCTGCAAGAGAACAATCACAGATTAGCCATATGGTGCTCATCATGTACCAATAAAGGAGAACATCTGAAGCTCAGGGTTGAACTGTGGGGTCCTTGGTGCTCTCTGAGCACGGTCGTTTCCCTCTCGCAGACACGTCATTATCCAAAATAGTTAGTCTACTAGCACGGATGATGAATGAAACGTCTGCAAGAAAACAACCAAGCTCAGAGAGCACCAAGTTACTTACTTTGAACCTGCAACCTACTTATTTAGCTTGGAATCAAAGTGGCCCTCAGTACTTCATGTGCAGTAAGTAAAACAGCCATGCTATTGACCTAGACAGAAAACATCTGCTCCTCGTTGGGTTAATGGGTGGCCTTTTATTTCTTGAACCTTCTCACTCGTAACTTCAAAACCAAACACTTCTCCTAAGACCAACGAAGAAACTCTCAGTCTTCAAGGAAGAGAAAGTTGAGGGACAGGCTCAGAGAAATGCAAGGATTCTGGAGAGCATCTGGTTGACCATCCCAGGGCGTCCATGAGAGAGGGCTCTCCCGCCTGTGTTGAAGCATCTCCAGGGAAGGAAAGTTCATCGGTTCCTGAGGCAGTTCAGTGCCCTTGCTGATCATCTCTTGCCATCAAGGAATGTCTTGAAGCAGAGTCATGGCAACTGGACTTCTCTTGTTGGCTTGAAAACGTTTCGCTGCTGATCCAAGTAGCTCCTTCAGTCTGAGGAAGTTGGTTATATATATGTCCCCCATTTTTTATGCTGCTCTTTCATCAGTCCCCAGGGAGATCAAGACCACTTCACAGGAGCACCAAGGAACCCACCTAGGAAAAAGGATTTAGGAGTTGGAACATCCCAATGACTCTCTGCCTACCCACCTAACAAGACTCTAGCAAGATTCGGGGAGAAATGAAATCTCCCTGGAGGACATATATGGGTCTCTCCTCACCCACGTGCTCAGGTTGAAGAAGGAACGTGGAAGAGCAGCAAAATGTTTTGAACCTGCAAGGGAAGAATTCCGGATGCCCTGCCTCAACTTCCAGACAACTCCGCTGGATGACTGAGAATCTTCACTGACCATCAAGAATGCTTTCCTGACGTTCAACCAATCTGCTTTCTTGCGATGTTCTGCTGGTCTTGTCTCCAGGAGCAACTTTCAACAGCTCTCTACCTCTTCTTCTACATTCAGGTACTGGAAAATGGCTCCTGGGTTTCCCCACCCCACCCCTATCTTTATTATTATTATTTTAGTTTGTCAAGCATATATGAGAAAACAAGTATGACATTACATATAAGCATATAAGTATAAACAGGTATAAGTATACACATTGTAAATGAGTAAGAATAAATGGGGACAGTAGGACAGGGACGGTAGGTATGCTGGTGCACTTATGCACGCCCCTTTACGGACCTCTTAGGAATGGGGTGAGGTCCAGTTTGAGGTTGAAGCTGTGAGGGTTTGAGGCTGTAACAACAGAGTCAGGTAGTGAGTTCCAGGCACTGACCACTCTGTTGCTGAAGTTGTATTTTCTGCAATCTTATAACTTTGGTTTTCATTACTCAAATCAAAGGCTTTGTAATTCATCCTGCTGAGATTCATCTTGTTGGTGGCTGCCCATTCTTTCGTTTCATCAAGTTGAGGTCCTCAAGATTCTTGATAAATGTGGTCCAAGGCCTTTTGTTATTTTTGCTGTCCTCCCTGTATGTCAGCCCTGCGAGGTAGTCCAGACAAGAAGCACCATAAGCAGCACAGGTCTACCTTTATTGTACATTAATGGACTCTTGCAAGACTGAAAGTATCTCTCCCCTTTTACTCTCCGGAAAGCTACAGAGGGTCCCTTCCAACATGCCTCCCATGCCTCTTCTCCTTCTGTGACCTGAGAAATCTTTTACATGCTGGTTATCCAGACTGTGAGTCTCCCTTCGGTCTTCCAAGCTCATCCTCACGTACAATTACCTTGCCTTTGTGACATCTGCAAATGTGTTGCGTTCTTGACTTGGCTAAGCGCGGATGGATGTGTGCAACTGAGAAACAGCAAATGTGGAGAGAAGAGCTTTACTGTTACTTTAAATTCACCGGGTCACTGTGTGCTCCGAAGAACCTGTTGGGCCTCGTTGTTCAGTTGAAAGTGATTTTTGTGTGTCCCTTCCTTTTCCTGCCTATTGACCTGAGTTGTGTGCCTGTGTTAGACACACCTATCTGGTACACCCAGCAAGGGGGGGGGGAAGGCTTACAAGATCCATGTGCCTCAACAGGCAGGGATAGTGTGAATGCACGACCAGAAGTCGAACTGTGGAGTGCCCCAACGCACCCAGAATTTTTAATTTAGCTCTTTCATGATTGAAAAAAAAAGGAAACCACCCAGAGATGAGATTAACGTGTGCGTCCTGAAACCCCTCACAGGAGACACATGCCAGACTCCTGGCGATGCCTTCCTTGCTCAGCAGTTTTGACAAAAATAAGAGCAGGCCAGCAAGTGAATAATCTATTGGGGGTGAATAAAGGAGGGCTGGAAAGAGCGACCCTAAACAGGCGCGTCTTCCTGAAGGAGAGGACGAGGTGATCCCGGCACCACATCGGTTTCTGTGCTCAGCTGGAAAAAAACCAACTCAGAGGAAAGGAAGATTTGGGGAGAGGGAAAAGTGCCTCCGTGCCATGACGTTGAGCATCACACGCCTGAGCTATGGCGCATGGCGACGCCTGCTCCGTCGTTGCCCCCGTCAGGATGACGGCCAAAACTCAGGGCAGGAGGAGAGAAGGACCACCGCTCATTACAGGCTGTTTGGGCCGCACTGCCAACGGCTGCGTTTTCTTGGACTGGAAGCCCTCCAACTCCATTATCCGGTCATTCTTCTGCCCTTTGCATGGTGTGGAACTCCCGAGGGATACAGGAAGACATCTTGGATTTGCAAAATATGCCGTCCCGGAAGGTTCTGACCTGCAAATGTTTGGATCTTGAAACTAGACGCACAACCTATTAGGGAAGTAGTGGAATCCTGGAACTCTTCTGACGTCAGGAAAGTTTGATTTCCAAATTGGACCCTTCTGGACCGTTTAGAAGGCGACTGAATTGTTTCCACCTCCCTAATATAGATACATTTCTAAATATACCATTAATTCCCGCTGCCTGTTGACTCAACGCGCTCCTTTGCCTAACCCCCACGGAGGCCATTCTCGCTCCAGGGTTCCCTAGACCTGTCGCGGTTTTAATGTGAGCTGCAAACCAAGAAAAGGTTTTGCTTTGCAAACTGAAGTATCTTGTCTTGCGAGGCTCACTAGCTGAAGTAGAGTACAGGCAGTCCTTGACTTACGACCACAGGTGAGCCCAACATTTCTGTTGCTAAGTGAAGCAGTTCAGTGAGTTTTGCCCCATTTTACGACCTTTCTTGTCTCGGCTGTTAAGTGAAGCACTGCTGTTGTTAAATTAGTAACCCTGTTGTTAAGTGAATCTGGCTTTCCCCATTGACTTTGCTTGGGGATCACGTGACCCCTGGGACATTTTTCAACCGTCGTAAATACGAGTTAGTTGCCAAGTGTCTGGATTTTGATGACATGGCCATGGAGGTGCTATAATGATTGTGTGAAAAAATAAGTCCCTTTTTTCAGATAAGTCCCTGTTTTCAGTGTGGTTGTAACTTTGAATGGTCACTAAATGGACTGTCGTAAGTGGAGAACTACCTGTATATCACTACAATATCCACAATGTTCCGATAATGAGATTTTCTTTGTCCTGCATTGCTCATTGTTACCCCCTTGCCTACAACTCAGTTCCAGCAGGCCGGCCTTTAACTACAATGCACATTTCAACCGACATATTTAAATGTAACAGAAGATAAAAAACAACAACAAATAGTCCTCTCCATCAATCTGTTTTCAGAGCCCACAAAAAGCTGTTGCAGCTGATGGCACCTTTGAAATTCAGCACGGAGCCAAGTTTTGATGAGCGAAGTTGATCTATCTGAGAACTAAAATGCATTTTGAAAGACTATTATATATTCTGTGCAGGTGTAAAGTGAAAAGAAAATACAGTGGAAGAAAATAGACATTTTGAAACATAGTTTTTATTTGTCAAAGCATACCAACTGAAAAGATGAAGGCACTTTATTTCAGAGCATTAGTGGTAAATATCCATATATCTACTTTTTGTTTTACAATGTCATGGTTTGGTTGTCGATTGTTCTCTTGGGAAGATCCCAATGTTGTTTATGAAACAGAAAAATCCTACACAAGAACACCCAACTGCCCTAATAACTCAAAACCTCTCAGCATGAATCTTAAAACAATCAAATTCAGGAGAGGATTTATGTTAAAATACCACCGACATATGAGAACATCTTTTAATCTCAAACCACAAACTTCAATAATTCAGTACCCCAAGATTTTGCAACAGCAGGAAATCTTATATAGTGTGTGGGGAAGAAAGAAAGAAAGAAGGAAGGAAGGAAGGAAGGAAGGAAGGAAGGAAGGAAGGAAGGAAGAGAAAAGAAAGGAAAGGAAAGGAAAGGAAAGGAAAGGAAAGGAAAGGAAAGGAAAGGAAAGAAGGAAGAAAGAATCATCAATGTAGGCAGAATATGAGAACATTCATTTGCTGTAATGTAGGCATGGTTTGTAAAATTACCATTTTATATTTTATGCACTGGAGACAAATTCCTTGTGTGTCCAATCACACTTGGCCAATAGAGAATTCTATTTCTATTTCTCATACACACACACACACACATGTACACACAAACATGTGTATACACACACCCACGCCCACTGCTTTTATACATCATCATACCAAAAAACAGTTTATTAGATTTGTGACCCTCCCAACTCCCAATGGCTCTGGCGACCTGAGAACAATCAAAGAAATAATATAAAATAATATATTTTTTAAAAAATCGAAGATAAAGATAACAGGTGGCAATGAAATCGCCAAAGGCCTGGGAATTTTAATATCATCCCTCTGTCATCTGTATATCTACCATGTACCTAAATTCATATAATATATATATATATATATATATATATATATATATATATATACACAGAGTATCTAAATTCATATATATACATATATATGCGTACAGATGTATATACACATATACAAACACATACAGACACACATAATCTAAATTCATATATATACAGACATATATATGCATACATGCATATATGCATAATCATATATGCATGATTATATATGTGTGTATATAATCACACACATATAATCATATCTAAATTCATATATATGCATATTCATACAGATGTAGACACACATGCATATACATATATACATACACACACATAATATCTAAATTCATATATATATACACATATGCATATATATGCATACAGATGCACAACACACACATATACAAACACATACACATATTTAATCATATCTAAATTCATATATATATATACATATGTATACAGATGTATATATATATATACACACACACAATATATATATATATATATATATATATATATATATACACACACACACACACACACACACACATATATACATACATATATACACACACACACACATAGACATAGATAGATAGATAGATGTAGGCAGACCCTCCCTAGACTGGACTGCCAGGGTACGTGCGCTGTGGATGGAAGGGAATTTGGTTTTCCCTGCTGATCTTCTCTAGTGAAGCCCCCCCCCCACAAGAGACCCCCTCCCATACACCCACCCACCCACCCACCGCCCAGCCAGGCCTCCCACCCCTGTGGAGCCCCTCCCCTCCCGGGGCCCCCGCCTTGCATCCCGCAGGCCCGTCCTCCCGACCTCAGGGGGGCCCCTTTCTGGAAAGCGCCCCCCCCACAGGCTCCCCCGGGGGGGGGAGAGAAGGGAGAGAAGCGAGGGAGGGAGGCGGGTTCGAAAGAGGCGCCCACCAGGGTCCGTCCGTGCGTGAGGGAGAGAGAGGGGGAGATCTATTCCGTGGGGGGAGGGGGGAGGAAAGAAAGCGCACCCCCCCCCCGGGCCCCCCCTTCCCCTCCCCCCCCCCCTCCCCCCCCCGTCCGATGGGCGCTTCCAGGCACTTACTTCCTGTTTTGGGTCCGGGCACTTGAGAGGCCAGGATGGAGGCTCCGAAATGCCAGGATGGAGAGGCGCCCGCCCGCCTCAGACGCCGCCGCCGCCACGCCGCCTCCCTCCCTCCCTCCCTCCCTCGCTCGCCCCAACCACCACCAGCACCACCAACTCCACCGGCAGCAGCAGCAGCAGGCCGCGGGGCGGAAGGGGCGGCGCCGGAGGAGCGGGCACAGAGAGCCCCGGGCAGAGCGGACCGGAAGCTCCCCACACACACACACACACACACACACACACACACATCCCCCTCTACCCACCCACCCCCGCCCCTTCGCCTCGTCTGCTCCGATGGCCGCCTTCGTTCTCCTTATTTCCCCCTCCCCCCCTTCCTTTATTTCCTTCGCCTGAGGGAGGGAGGGAGGGGGCCCAGGGTGGGCTTCAGCCTTGGAAGGGATTTGAACCCGGCTTTCTCTTCCCCCCACGGCTGGCTGTTTAAGAACCGCCCCCCCCCCCCGCCCCCCCTCTCTGGACTTGTGTGGTCTGGTCTGCGCTTGGATGGGAGGCCACGAGGAGATCCCAGTTGGGAAGGAAATACCCTGGAAGAAGGCAGTGGACCTTCTCTCCTGTATAAAAAGCCCCCCATGCCTGGAGGCTTTCAACGAATGTGTGATTCCCTGTAGATGACATACGCCTAATAATAATAACAATAATTACAAATATAAATTACAAAATAAATCACAAAGTACCGGGACTTGCAAATTGAAGTTGAGCGACTGTGGAAAAAGAAATCGTGTGTTGTCCCGATTGTAATTGGAGCCCTCGGAGCAATACCCAAAGGGCTACCCCGCTATTTAGAAATCCTAAATTTGCCGGACTTGAACATTTTGACTCTACAAAAAACCACCTTACTCGGAACAGCTTACATCCTCCGACGATACCTTAACAGTTCCTAGGTCCTTGGTTAGGACTCGAGCTGCTGAGCTGTTAACCAGCCTCAAAGGCTGTGAATCTCACTAAAGATTAACCAATAACAATAATTAAAACATTGATAGCAACAACAACAATAACAATAACAGGACAGGACTTGTGTGGTCTGGTCTGCGCTTGGATGGGAGGCCACGAGGAGATCCCAGTTGGGAAGGAAATACCCTGGAAGAAGGCAGTGGACCTTCTCTCCTGTATAAAAGACCCCCATGCCTGGAGGCTTTCAGCGAATGTGTGATTCCCTGTAGATGACATACGCCTAATCATAATACTAATAATAATAACAATAATTACAAATATAAATTACAAAATAAATCACAAAGTACCGGGACTTGCAAATTGAAGTTGAGCGACTGTGGAAAAAGAAATCGTGTGTTGTCCCGATTGTAATTGGAGCCCTTGGAGCAATACCCAAAGGGCTATTTAGAAATTCTAAATTTGCCGGACTTGAACATTTTGACTCTACAAAAAACCACCTTACTCGGAACAGCTTACATCCTCCAACGATTCCTTAACAGTTCCTAGGTCCTTGGTTAGGACTCGAGCTCCTGAGCTATTAACCAGCCCCAAAGGCTGTGAATCTCACTAAAGATTAACCAATAACAATAATTAAAACATTGATAGCAGCAACAACAATAACAATAACAGGACACTGGCAGCAACCCGTATCAACCATTAGCACCAGTCAATGGTATTTGTGACACATTTTTGAATATTCAGCTGACTGAGTTTCATGTTTAATGAATAAAAGATGATGATGATGATGATGATGATGATGCTATGCCTGGGGTCTCCAGGAGGCAGGTATAACTTGGTAAGCAGCCTTTAATCATTTAATGATTAAATTTACGTAGATGCCCCTCTCCCCACTGAGTCTCCAGGCTAGGAAACTCCTCAGTGGAAGAAAAAAGCTGGTTTGGTTTGGAGAAGAGATGTGACACTTTTTGATATATATATATTTTAAATTGGCTTAGCTTTTAAAACCGGACAGAGCATCTTATTAGACAGACTCAGAACCAATTTTAAACTCGTTCAAAATGTTTGGGTGGAGATGCCATTATATTGTGAGAAAGTATGCATTTAGATTCCGGAGTATAAAATCTATGCATGTCTACGCTGGAGTAAGCCTGTTACACACAGTCATTTTGTTCCCAGTTAAGTAAGAAACACAATTTTAATAAACTGCAAACAGCAGACAGGTGTGCCACATATTTTTCAAACCATTTTATTAAGAATTAGAAACAACAAAAAATACAAAACAGGAAAATACAAAAAAAAAAAAAAAGTGCGGATGTGAAATAAAGAAAAAGGGAAGGAGAAAAAAACCTTTCCTTTCATCCCAGCAGACAAAAACAATTTTAATAGATTATCTCCCTCTAGATAAAACATAACTTCTCCCCTAGCTCATCTTTTAGATAAGGAAAACAAGAGCCAAATGGTACATCGATCAATCTCTGTCAGCAGAACTTGATGAAGGGCAACCGGATGTGACTCTTCCCTTCTTTTAACCCTGATTGAAGAAGCCAATCTGATATTAATCAATCAGAATAGAACTGAAAGGGCCCTTAGAGGTCTTCTAGTCCAACCCCCTGCTCAAGCAGGGGATCCTACACTATTTTGGACAAGTGACGATCAAGTCTTTTTTTTTTTTGAAAGCCTCTAGTGATGAAGCACCCACCATTTCTGAAGGCAAGTTTTCCCACTGGTTATAAATGCTGCCTGGTTTTTTTGAAAATTATTCTTTAACCACTTCAAAAAATAAATCCTCCCTTTGCTTCTCTTGCTCCAGCATCCAGTGGTGACTCTCCTTGCAAAAGTGGTCTTGCTAGCCTGAAAAAGCCAGGAAGTATCTGGACATGCCATCTAATATTTTCTGTGAGTAATTCCTGATTGTCTCTCTGTGGTTACTCAATGTTTTTACTATGATTACTTTCCTACAGCCTTGTAACCACCAGATGGCTCACATCTCCACATTTCGGCTTTTCAGCTCCGTAATTTCCTAAGAGGCCTTTTGGATTCTTCTTTTATTAAGGTTCCATTATTGAGAATAAACGTGCATAGTGTCACACCTGTTGTCCATAGAACTGTGCTATCTAAAATTCTTGGTATCAAGCACCTGGCCTGGCATGGAGGAGGGATCCAGCATAGAGGTAGGGACAGGAATGACCCACCTAAGTTCCTTGGAGCCTTATCTAATTGCTCCCAGGAATAGCAATAGCAATAGCCCCTTATACTGTTTCACAGAGCTTTACAGCCCTGTCTAAGCGGTTTACAGAGTCAGCCTCTTGCCCCCAACAATCTGGGTCCTCATTTTATCGACCTTGGAAGGATGGAAGGCTGAGTCAACATTGAGCCAGTCAGGATCGAACTCCAGATTGTGGGCAGAATTAACTTGCAATACTGCATTCTAACCACTGCACCACCATGTCTCTATCATCTATCTATCTATCTATCTATCTATCTATCTATCTATCTATCTATCTATCATTATCTATCTATCTATACCATTATCTATCTATCTATCTATCTATCTATCTATCTATCTATCTATCTATCTATCATTATCTATCTATCTATACCATTATCTATCTATCTATCATTATCTATCTATCTATCTATCTATCTATCTATCTATCTATCTATCTATCATTATCTATCTATCTATACCATTATCTATCTATCTATCATTATCTATCTATCTATCTATCTATCTATCTATCTATCTATCTATCTCAGTAACAATAGCAATAGCACTTAGACTTATATATCGCTTCACAGTGCTTCTCAGCCCTCTCTAAGCGGTTTACAGAGTCAGCCTCTTGCCCCCAACAATCTGGGTCCTCATTTTACCCACCTCAGAAGGATGGAAGGCTGAGTCAACCTTGAGCTGCTCAGGATCGAACTCCTGGCAGTGAGCAGAGTTGGTCTGCAATGCTGCGTTCTAACCACTGCGCCACCATGAGTAAGTTTTCAGACCGGGGAGATTCCTGCATTATAGGCAGAACATAATAAAGTAGGTAGTCTGAACTCTGCATACCCGGGTCTGGTTGTTTGGGCCTGACATTTCTTGACTTGCTGAAAGGACCACTCTGTTTTCTGCTTGCATGTTGTTTATTTATTTATTAATTAAATTGATAATGCCACCCATCTCACCATGGAGGGATTCTTATGCTTGTTGTACTGGATTGCTGTATCACACCAGCCTTTGAGGCATGCTTCTAGATAATCAAATGTGAGACACCAATAACAAAATGATAAGGGTTGCCTTGTATTCAGCTGGGCTTCTGTCCAACACAGGAAAATATCCAGTAGCACAAACATGTTTACTATTATGGTACTATTTTCTTGGTTGTTTTTTTTTTTAAAAAAACAACTTTCACGGACCAGCCTATCAGCCTGTCATTTCCTGGTGGTCTCTCATCCATTCATCCAGCAGGGCTACGTATCGTTTGAAAGCGATTCAGAATGTGTTCTGCAGATATTGTGCCACATCATAATAGAAAGAAAATTCCTGGTTTTGTCTGGATGTTGATTTTTAAAATAATCTGCCTTGTTGTAGGCCTTTGTGTTATATTTTTTTTTCACAAGCCCATCATGCATGGGAAAATGTCCTTCACACTTTTCACACTTTTGACAACGATTTGAATATCCTTCTGCACCTTTCCCCCCCCCCCCGTTTCCAAAGCTGGACCTGCTTAGCGCCTGTCAGTTTAGCATTGCCACCCACAGAAGCTCACACATAAAACTGCAGTGGGATGTTGCATCCTGATCCGGATTTTTTTCCTGCAGAATGTGCTTGCTATTTTTGGAAACAACTCAGTGGGTTGGGCTTCTCCAGGACAGAATGGACAACGTCTTGGTACCAACGCCTTGGTACTACAGTGGTTTAAAGCACCCTGTTATTAACACAGCTGCCTGCAATTTACTGCTGGTTCGAATCTCTCCAAGGCTCAAGGTTGACTCAGCCTTCCATCCTTTCTAAGGTAGGTTAAATGAGGACCCAGTTTGTGGGGGCAATAAGCTGACTTTGTATAAATATACAAAAGTATGAAGGCTATTGCTTAACGCACTGTAAGCCGCCCTGAGTCTCCGGAGAAGGGCGGCATATAAATCA